CATTACAACGAAGATAAAAAGTGAGTATGGCATTTCATTTTGTGCCTCTTTCTCAAGGAAATATGTTTTTAAGAAGCAACCCTACTAATAATTTTGCCACAGAAGACCACTAAATGTTTGAGGTTCAACTGGTACTGAAATGCAGCCTCAGCTTTTTGCTGAGGCCAGAGTCTTGCTAAATGAACCCTACCTTCTTAAAATTTCAGGACTAATAATTTTGTTGAGCAGCATTCCTGAGAAAGGGTTTAAAGCAATATATGAACAGCTCTCCATATGGATATATTTTCAGACAATTTCAGACAAGTTTGTAAATGAAAGTACATCCTAAAACCATTAGCTAGGCCCCAAAAGTCTGACAGAGAACAATAAGTTCATTAGTTTTAGCTGCTGCTGAATCTGACAGACATCCATGATTATGATGGAAAGTAATGCCAGCTGTTGTCCACTAATGATCTCATCATGTTATATGTATGCAATGAACTTCTTATTTTATATTTATCAAGGGAAGAATGTGGCAAATTGACCCATCAGAATAAATACCTTCACGAAGGCAAAGCTGAGGACACATTGTCCACAAAAGAAGTTTTGTTATCAAAACTACAAGATGGGTATATGTTTGTCTCTGTGTGAAGAAAGTGTCAAACTGCTCACTCTGTGGGTTTGATATCTTTGTCCATGCTGAACTGTTCTCTAGTAATCAAAGAAAAAAGAACTAGGACTGAGCCTTCTCTGAAAATCTTTATTAAATAGATCCACCAAAAAGACACACACAGGCTTGTAGCTATCCTGGCCCTTTGTCTCAGTACACTATGTGGTAAACAAAACCCAAATCCTGTAAACCCAGCTTCCCCTACAGAGTGTGTTGCAGATAACATGCAGTGGCCAAGGTTCCCCATGCAGTGCCTTAATCCCGTGGTCTGCCTGATTGTGGAGTGCCGTGCTGGACCATCTCTACTCTGCACCAACACAAGCATGGAAGAGGTGATAGAGGACCCTGTCTCACGTAACAGGTCCCAACTGCTTTTGTGGGATAGCTTTCAGCCAGATTTATTTCTTTATCTGTTCCATCATGAAGCCACACCAACACAAGTGATTGGAAAGCAGAAGAACGAGAGTGAATGGCCAAGGATCAGGTTGGGAGGTAGGGAGAAACTGCTTCTTCTGGAGGACTTGTGTTATTTTACACTTACATGGGAATAACAAGACCCATTGTGAAGGGAATGGAGACAGAAGCCAATCGCAGGAATTAAGTACATCATGACTTCCACTTCATTCAAGGATCATCTAACCCCATTAAGTCCTAGAAGTTAGACACTGTAGTTAACCCTCTCTCCTAAAGGGGGAGTAAGGAGGTGTCTCTACTGAGCACCTCGGTAATTAATGAATTCACTCAGAACACTGAAATACCTGCCTCTAATTTGATCAAACACCTCCTCTCCCTGAATAACTGACAGGCTCATTCCTCCTCTCCACATGTTGTAACTGAGGTAGGGTTGAAACAAGACATGAGTGGGTGAAATCTGCAATATAGTGACTAAGGTAATTGCTTACAACTGAAATTTAAAGAGTTCATGCTCAACCCCAATTGATACGTTGTATAGAATAATTTAACCTTAATTAGAGAAAGAATGAAAACCCCAGTATTTCTCCATCCATGTCAATGCCTGCACTAGTAAGATATTAGGTCGTGTTGTTTCGGGTTCACTTTGGGATGTTTCCATGCAAAACAAAAGACCTGTCAGAGAGAACCCTGCAGCAGCAAGAGCTTTTAGTTTGCAAAAAGATGCATGCTCAGACAGAAAAGAAATTTGTAGCCCAGCATCTGACTTCTGGGTGTAACATCAGGCAGAAAATGCAGCAAGTATCCTCAGCCTTCTTATCTGCAGTGCATCAGGCTAGAGGTGAAATCAATGGTGGTCGTTGGCTATCTCCACAACCTGACAGGCCTAACACATGAGCAATGTGAAGAACTAATCAGGGCTGTCAAGACTGGAGCAGCTTTGCCAGGTCTCAGATTCAGACCTAGAAACACATCCATTCGGGGAGTATTCAGAGCTGAATCTGGGTGGGGCATCATATGCCCATGGAAATCTAGCCAAGTGAAAACATTTAGATGTTCATAGAATCATAGAATGGTTTGGGTTGAAAGACATCTTAAAAGGTCATCTAGTTCAATCCCCTTGCAATGGGCATGGACGTCTTCAGCGATATTTGGTTGCTCAGAGCTAGTCCAACCTGACCTTCAACGTTTCCAGGGATGTGGCATCCTCCACCGCCCTGGGCAATTTGTTACAGTGTTTCACTACCCTCATTGTAAAACAAAATTCTGCTTATACCTAGTCTGAATCTACCCTTAGTAGTCCAATTCCTGCAGGTCCTTCTAAAAATCTGTCCCCAGGCTGCCTGTGGAAGTGGTTAAGTCAGCATCCCTGGAGGTATGTAAACAGATGTAGACGTGGTGCTTGGGGGCATGGTTCAGTGGAGTAGTTGGCAGTGTCAGTCCAACTGTTAACCTAGAAAACTAAACATAAGAAATCTGAGAAGCTCAGAATTAAATGTAAAATTCCCAAATTCTCAGTACACTCAGATCTGCAAAGGCCCAGTAAGATGCACAACCTTAACATTAACCCTGTGTCCTAACACTGCAGTTGTATTCATACAATTAACACGACAGTTATGTTTTAAAGGTTGTCACTGAAATCAGGTATTTTCCTTCTCTGGTATTGCTCAACGTCTGCTAAAAGGTGTTTGGCACACCTTCCACAAAGCCTGATTTTTCCTGTAGAACCTGCCCTGCTACTTAGCAGTGCACATCACTGAGTTATACATACCTGTATAATTAAGGTACCCAGTAATTAGATGAGTTGTTTGTGGTATAACTGAGACCAAGGCAAAAGAACAGAGCAGAAATTGTCAGGGTTAGTAATAAATGTCTCCAATGTAATAAATGTTCATTGAATAGGATATTAAACATTTTGAGAATTTGATGTAGTTTAGTGTCTCAAAGTCTACTAGGGATAGGATATATTAGACTTCCACTGATTTCAGTGTGCTGCCAGAAATAGAAGCCTCTCCCATTGAGATGCACTCGCAATGATACACAAAAGGAAAACTCAAGTCAAATGGGCTGTGAATTACTTATTAAACAAGTGAATAACCACCCTGTCAGAATAATTCTCTCCACTGAGGTAAGATCAGTCAAGGTTTTATGTAATTACAAAAAAGAGCCTGAATATGGTTGTCAGACACCAGCAATATTCTAACAAAGTCAAGCACATGGTACTTAGACATCAAAATGTGAAATTTTGACTTATGATTGAAAATCGAAGTGGGAAGCAGATTTAATTATACACTAAGTATATACGGTAAAGCTTTGGCTTTTTTTAATAATATGTGTTTTTATGGCAGTGCTCTTCAGATTTATTTTAGTATTTGCATAAAAATCCTGTAGATCTCTAAAGCCATTGATGAGCTGGAAGACAAGGCTGAAGGAGGTTTACAAAATGGGAAAAATACATAAAGTACCACTATTTGCTAGCAACCCTCCCCCTACTGCTAAGAAAGAACAAATGCCAGCTCTATTCCAGTGAAGATTAATGTCTGACAAACATTAATGAGACCCATGAAACAAACAAAAAAATTACAGAGGTAGAAAAATTCCCAAAAGTCAAAATCCCCTTTGCTTTACAGTGAATATGTTAATGCGGCCAAACAGAAACTTTTTCTCCCATGGTGACTCTCTGAATAGAAACTAGCCTGAAGAAAGCAAAGTGATACCCTAGAAACCAACCAGTTTTACACTCATTACCAGTTAAAATGGCTAAAGAGCCACGTGTCTGACACTACAAATAAGCTATCTTTTCCAAAGAAGTTCTGTGTATATTTGGTTTCAGATACTCCACAGTTCAGGGTTTTTTTGCAAATTTACATGAGAGTATGAAAGCTAGAAAAATACCTTTAAAACGTCTGTTCAAAGTTGAGATTTTCCCTTAACAGCTCACTAAAAATTTTATTTGGAGCCCTCTACAGTAGCCTTTTCGGTTTGGGTTGGGGTTTTTTTTTCCTTAGGTTGCCTTTTTGGGTTTCTTTTTCATTGTTTGTTTTGTTTTTTGTTTTGTTTATTCTTCTCTTTGCTCAGCTGTTGCCCAAGTACCCAACTGCTGTGCAACACATCATAGAGATTGTGCCAATCCACAGCAATGGAGACATCGTGCTCCTGCTGGCACTGCCACCGCAGGTCCTGCTTTAATCACAGACAATGAATCAGCAGAAGAAAAAAGAAAAAAGAAAGGAAAAAAATCATTAAGTAAATGTTTGCACATTGGTTCATTGAGTAAAGGAGGCTCGAAGGTGACCTTATCACTCTCTACCTGAAAGGAGGTTATAAACAAGTGGGAGTCCACCTCTTTTCCCAGGCAGCCAGCGGCAAGATGAGAGGACACGGCCTCCAGCTGTGCCAGAGGAGGTTTAGGCTGGACATTAGGAGCAATTTTTTCACAGAAAGTGATTAGATATTGGAATGGGCTGCCCAGGGAGGTGGGGGAGTCACCGTTCCTGGAGGTGTGAAAGGGAAGACTGGACGCGGCACTCAGCCTAGTTGACACGGTGGTGTTCGGTCCTGAGTTGCACTCGATGATCTCAGGTCTTTTCCAACCTAATCGATTCTGTGATTCTGTTGCCGATGCGGAGGACCACGCGCACCCCCGCGCTGCAGCACTGCCGGTCCCCTGATGGGCCCGCGGCCGGACCGCGGCGCTGAGGCGAGACCGCCCTCCCTCCCCGCGGGCGGGGCCGCCCGAAGGTGCCCCCGGCTCCCGCCGCCTCCCGACGTGGCCGCCGCAGCGCCCCGCGCCCAGCGCGTGAGCGCGTCCCTTCTCCGATTGGCTGCCCCCACCACCAGGCCCCGCCCGCCTCGGCGCCCTATTGGTCGGTTCCAGCCCCGGCGCTCCTCGCGCCGCAGGCCGCAAGAGGGTGCGCGTTCCCGAGGGCGACCCCGCGCATGCGCGTTCCCGCCGTGGCCTCTCCTAGGCTCTCCCCCCTCCCCGCTCACGCCGGCCCCGCGCCCCGGTCTCGCGCCATGGCGGCCGCCGCGGAGGAGCCGTTCCCGTTCCACGGGCTCCTGCCCAAGAAGGAGACAGGCGCCGCGGCCTTCCTCGCCCGCTTCCCCGACTTCGACGGGCGGGGGGTGTTGCTGGCCGTGCTGGACACCGGCGTGGACCCCGGGGCGCCGGGCATGCAGGTAGCGCGGGGCGGCCCTGTGTCACGGCCGCGGCCCTCGGGCAGCGCCCGGGCCCCGCCGGGTCGGCCCTGCCGCGGGGACGGGGGCGAGAGCGGGGGCCTGAGGCGGCGGCGGCGGCGAGAGCGGGGGAGGCCCCTGAGGGGCTGTCCCAGGGACTGCAGTCCCGCGGACTTGTCCCAGTGTGTTCGTTCCTGGTTCCCGCTCGGCAGCTGGAGCGGGAGGGCGGGGAGATGCCGGATCCGGGAGGTCCGCACCGGGCACTCCGGGTGCTGCTGTGGGGATCCTCCTAAGCCGTCCACAGGCGTTTTATGGCATTTAAATCTTCTCGGCTGCCGCCTCTCACGCAGAGCTCGTTATAAAGGAACGTTTTGTGGTTTTGTGTTGTTAGCGCTACTTCGGCAGTGGGTGACTCGGGACTACACACGGCCGCTTAAGGGCTTTTACATGAAAAATGCATTTCTGGCATTTTGCATACCAATCTTTGAGAGTGTATTTTTCGTGCGTTGTATTGCAATAACAGTTTGTATCAGATTCGATTCTGCCAGCTTTTTTTGAGTGTGCCAGCTTTGTATGTCAGATCATACAACGATTACCATTATTATCTCCATCTCGGTTTTGTAAATTTCTCTGTGTGTGACTTCAATTTGGGCATTTCTCAGCACTCCTCTCTTTTAACTCTTGTCTCTTAACATTTCTATATCGTGTAAGTTTTCGTGTGGCCTTTTGTGTCACTACTGTTTCTTATTTCTTGTCAACATGTTTTCTCTGAGTTGTAGCAAAAGAGGCCTTGAAGAAAGATTCAGAGTTGAATGCAACTCATTTGGATATTACATCCTTTATTTTTTTTACTAAGTAGAGATTGTGTTGGTTTCTGCCCTTTCTGTGGTGCAGATTTAACTCCTAAGTGACCTCATTCAGGGACTTGACCCTGGCAGATCATTAGTTACGTGTTCGGAAATGACTCCTTATAGGATTCAGTTAAGCAAAGGGATGAGTGAAGAGGACAGGTAGGGTGGAAGGAGGAACTGAGCAGCTGTAACTTCGATGGATTTAAGTTGAAATGAAGATGGTACTTTTGGCAAGAACTTGTGGGTAAGTGGAATAGTAATTGGGAAGCTTAATGAAAGTTAGCCAAAAAGCAAGCAAGATAGTACCATGGGCAGAGCAGAAAGTAATAAAGACAATTGGGAAAATGTGAATGTAAGTTGGATGACATGCATAGTTCTGAAGTTTCACATGTAAAAGCAAAAAACCCTAAATTTTTAGAGGTTATAAATGAGGAGTAGACAGCACCAACAACAAAAACACCAACAACATGAGTTTATGGACAGTAGTGGGAAGCTTTGTTCTGAGATAGGTAACCCAAAGTTCATAAGGGATGCTTATGAACCATCATGATCTCAGTGCTGACCATATCAGTTTTCTTCAGCCTGTTTCTTTTATATGCAGAATAAAATTTCAAGTAGTTAAGTAAAAAATTTGTCAGGAACTTTGGAGGGGGGCTGGAATTCATGTTGCAATGAGTGAGTTTGCAGGGGCGTTAGAGAAATGTGTAAAAAAGTGGTATTCTCTGTCCACACTTCCCAGTTAATACCTGGCTTAAGCCACTTGCTGAACTACAGACTGGGGAGGCTCATTGCACAGGGAATTGCAAAGGAGATATAGCCTGCACACAGCCTGTAGAATAGCTTTGTAGGTGTTTATTCAGCAAGAGGATGTCCTCACTCTCTGAGTATTGGGCAGTTTACATTTTGCCTCCATGCAATACATCAGTGTCCTGGGCACAGGCAGTGAGACAGCATAGCTGTACTGCAAGAAGTAGCTTCTAAACTTGGGACAATTTTTGGATTTTTTTATTTTTTTTTTGCACCCTTGTCCTTTCTGCTGCTGCTTTTTCTTACTGTCGGTTCTTGGCCTGGCATGGAGTTAATCTGTGAGAGTTGAATCAGTTGCTTAGAGGGAAGAGAAGACATGTTTAGCAAGGTTTATGGGTATTACAACTTTGAGTTCAGGTTAATGACAATAATGATTACAGACCAAAATGAGCTACCCTGTTTTGAATATAGTGGGGTTTTTAGTCAAAACAAAACAGTTCATTTCTTTTCTGCTCCCTAGTGTTTCATTCCTGGGTAGGTTTCCTTTTTGTGTTGATTCTATGATTTGGTTTGTAAACACTGATACCAGAGTTTGTCCCCTTTACAAGGGATGAAAAGATTTGGGGACAGAGTTAAACAGAGAAATACCATAACGTTTATATTCTTCCCTGTATAATTGCTGCTATAGAGACAATAGTTATCAGGCTTAAAAAACCTTCTTTTTTCTATTGGTTGGCTTGCTTTGCCACACAAAATGTTAATCTAACTTGTACTTACTTTCCATTTCCTTATGAACCTTTTGTAATCAGTGCCCTCTAGGGAACTTCTTTCACATCATCTTTTATTGTTTTATGCTCCACCTGTTGATGCCAACTCTTAAGTTCAGTTTGTCTGATTCTTCAATGCTGGTTTTTGCCCTTTCAGCCCTTCTTGGTAGAATCCATTTCCTGTTGCTGTCTACCAAGTCATGACTTGTAATTCCTTAGTAAGGCACAATGACTGATGAAATTTTAGGTGGGCAGATAAGGTGCACTTAATGGAGTGTTGTGGTTGTATATGTATTGTCTTTGTTCAACCCCAACCTGTCTGTTCCCTGTTCCTGTTGTGAATTCTTATGTTTCATGATAGATAAGTCATTCATCTGCTTCTTGCAAATTTATTTATTTTGTGAACTGCCTGCTGGAATTATTATTTACTACAGTTAACTTTTACTTTTGTATGACAGCCTTTTAGCAGTAGCAGCTAGTTTGGTTTTACTTGCTTTTCAGCACTGAGTTGCTTGAAAATTATTTTATTTGTAATAACGATGACCAGCTGTCCCGTGACCCAAGTGCTGAAAAATTTGTTCATCTCTTGTTGCTACAGTAGCTGTCCGTTGGAGTCAGTAACATTGTATGGGCTGGCAAAAACATGCTCAGTGCATCTGGCTTTCCCTTTTCAATTGGGATTGTCACAGATACTGGTGCTCCTCTATTTCTGTTATACTGATCAGTTGCCAGGATTATGCAGATAGATTATTTTTAGTGTGCTCAATTTATCAATTTATTTGTTTTGCAAAATTGGAGCTAACATGTAAGTAGGTTTTTCAAACTTCAAGCAGAAATGTATAAACAACAAAGTAATTTTCAGTTTTGAGGTACTAGAATATTATTTGTTTTTCAAATGGCTATAGGCAAGCCATGATAATAAAGGTAGGATTTGAGGGGGATTTTATAAATACAATATAAAATATTTTTAATTGTATAACAGTTCTTAATTTTTTTAATTTTAATCCATAAAGTACTAAAATGTACCTTCTATCCGTAATCAGTTCATTAGTTCAGGACTTTTCTGTTCACATAAGGGAATTGATCAAGCTTACATGATTATTTTTGTATTATTATCGTTTTTCCTCAGAATTACAAGACTTGAAAAGCAAAACCGAGCTGAACTCTGAGTTAGACTGTAGCATTACTGCTGGCGGGCAGTGTGCCGAACAGCAGTTCGGGTCAGCAGAAGCAGCCGTATCAGTTACTTGCGCTAAAGGACCATGAACCTGTCTGAATTGCTGCTTTTAGGAATTGAACCTTGGACCATGTGAAACTCTCGAGTTTCTTGTGTCTGACTGGAAGACTTTAATTTGTTGGTTCTAACTGTACAAACTCACGTGCATGTGCAGACCTGCTGGGACTCAGCTACGAGGCAAAGAGCCACGTAGTGTAGGACTTGCATGTTGTCTGTCTGGCTAGAAAACAGCTTCTAAAACTACTCAACCATAAATCTATGTTCTGGCCACCTGTTGCTGTATAACTTGCCTACTTCAAACAGGTCACCTTGAATTACCTTTCATTCTTCTTGTACTTTGATCACTGAATAGTTCATTTTGAGTAAAGGCATATTGAAAAATGTCCAGTGCTGCTAATCTCAGTTTTGGCTTGCAGTCCCTTTATTGTTGGAGCAGCTCTTAACTTTTCTGTGAGTTGAGACTGACATTTGAAGGCATTAACTACAAATGCTAGAAAATGGTATTGGTTTAGTGCCTACGCGCTGTTCCCCAAGTAAATTTTCACTACTGTGTAACTGTTGTTCAGTGGATGTTTTACCAGGTTAACATGCTTTAATGATTTTCTTAAGTGAACGTGAATTTCTATGAACAGAGTAGCACTGTTGGTTTCTATAGTGGAAGTTTTTCCTTAACAAGACTCTTCAAAAGCCATATTTGTTTCTGGGAAATGAAATTGATATTCTTTTTATGGTTGCTATGGGTTTGGAATTTTTTATTTAGTTTTGGTTTTTTGTTTTTGTTTGTTTGGTTTTAGTTGTTTAAGCCTGTTTTTATTGTGGAATTGCTTGTTATTTTTCTGGGTTCGGGTTTTTTGGTTGTTGTTGAGTTTGGGGGGATTGGGTTATATGGAGTTTGTTTTGGCTTTTGTTTGGGGTTTGAGTTTTCTTTTAAACCATGAGAATTTGAGACCATGGAAGTATTGTCCTTATTTGTTGAGGTGTGATAAAAGCCTGACCCTTGTTATTTTGGCAGCAACAGAGAGACTTTTATGAAACAGCTTGAACATGTTGTTAACTTCCAGCAGCTGAATCCACAATTGCAGAGCACGATTGGAACAAAACAACCTGTCATATATGTTATGCCTAGCATAAAAATTACTGATAGAGAATAAAGGCAACAATAACAAATATTTAAATGATAGAAAACAGCAAATGTGGCTGCTTTTCTGAATAAGAATTTTTTTTCACTTTCAGTGTAGTTATTGTATAGGAGATGTTGGGAAGATGATTGATTTTTTTTTTTCTTCTTTTTTTTTTAAAATCGGTCTTTAATGTAGGACTAGAAAAATATGTGCATATGATCAATTCATACAATCATGTAATGGTTTGGGTTGGAAAGGACCTTGAAAGGCCAACTAGTCCAACCCCCTTGCAATGAGCAGGGACATCTTCAACTAGATCAGGTTGCTTAGAGCCCTGTCCAACCTGACTTTGAATGTTTCCAGGTATGACACATCCACCACCTCTCTGGGCAACCTGTTCCAGTATTTCACCACCCTCATAGTAAAAAATTTCTTCCTTATATCTAGTCTGAGTCTACCCTCCTTTAGTTTAAAGTCATTCCCCCTTGCCCTGTCACTGTCTGTGCCCTCCTAACAAGTTTCTCTCCATTTTTTTAAGACCCTCTTTAAGTACTGGGAGGCTGCTATAAGATTTTTCCAGAGCCTTCTCTCCTCCAGGCTAAACAACCCCAGCCTGTCCTCATAGGAGAGGTGCTCCATCCCTCTGAATTCGTATTGCCCTTCAGGCAAATGCTACTGTATATGGGTATAGTTTATTTGCTAAATAAACTCCTACAGTATCTCCTAGATGAAGAATGTTATTACAAGAAAGTAACTTTGGGTATTTTTGCTAAATGTTAAATGAATAAAAAAATCTTAACTATACTATTGGTAATTGTGTAGGAGGTTTCTCTAGGTGAAAGGGACATTAGAAGGGTTAGTAGTTTCTATTTTGATGTTGTTTAGTTACCCACCACTACTGTAAAGTCCATCAGGGCTAGTTTTGATCTAATTTGAGGAGGCTTTAAATATATGTTCGTAAACTCCTCATGGGTAGTCAGCTCTTTTTCTTCTTGCTCTGGTAAAAATACTCCTTATATGAGTATTAGGAGTATATAGCCATAGCTACTAACAATGAAGCAGAATCCTTGAAACAGGAAAAAGGAGATGATGGTAACTTGTGTTCCTTTTAGGTTTAAGGTCAATTAAGAGACTCAAGCTTGTGAGAGCTTGTACTTCATCTTTCATTTTGTTAGTTGTGCACTCATTACTGTAAAATTTGGCCATAATGGGTGGATGGAAGCAACACAGCAAATAATTTGACCACAAATAGTAGTTTTTGCAAATTTAGGCTTGGTTTTAAAGTGAGGCTGCATGTGCTTTGTTGATACAGTGGTTTTACTTGTTTCTCTTCTAAGTCCTTATTAGAAATAAGTGGGTTTGTATAAACCAGAAAGATGAACATGTTGGTCTTAGTTCATTTAAAATATAACCAAGTTCAAGTTGGTTTTGTGTCCTTCAGTTAAAGTTTGGTGTCTAAGAAAGTTAGTTGCTATTTTTGATAAGAAAAATGAAAACTTTCCTGGTTTGTGTGCTCAAGGGTAATCAACTACATTTTCAATTCTCTGGTGCTCATATTTTCAGATCACGACTGATGGGAAACCGAAGATAGTTGATATAATTGACACAACAGGCAGTGGTGATGTAACTACATGTACCATTGTAGAACCTAAAGATGGAGAAATTACTGGTCTTTCTGGAAGAACTTTAAAGGTGAGTGTTTGGTAGTACAGAAACACCATTGAACATCATCTTCTTGATTGCTTAATGACAAATACAGGACCTATTTTGGTTTCTGCAGAACTTAACTTTCATTTAATCAGATTTTGTGGTTTAAGCCCAGCCGGCAACCAAGCACCACACAACCTCTTGCTCAGTCTCCCCCCAGCAGTATGAGGGGAAGAGAATCAGAAGGGTAAAAGTGAGAAAACCCATGGGTTGGGAGGAATTCATTTACCACTTCTCATGGGCAGGCAGGTAAACAGCCATACCCAGGAAAGATGGGCTCCATCATGGATAATGCTGACTTGAGGATATAAATGCCATCACTCTGAACATCTCCCCTTATTTCCCCAGGTTATATGCTGAACATGACACCATGCAGTGTGAGATACCCTTCTGGTCAATTGGGGTCAGCTATCCTGGCTGAGTCCCCTCCCAGCAGCTTGTGCATGGCCAGCCTGCTCATTGGTGGGGTGGGGTGTGAGACAGACAAAGCCTTGACTCTGCTCAGCAACAGCTGAAACATCCCTGTATTATTAACACTGTGTTCAGCACAGATCCAAAACACAGCCTCATACCAGCTACTGTGAAGGAAATCAAATCCAGCCCAACCAAAATCAGCAAACCAGATCTTATCCAAAGCTAATACTGGACTTCATCATCTTCATACAGATTGCTTAGTATTTCTTTTACTTTTCATATGTCTTTCTTTTTAATATTTTCTGTAGCCAAATGGGGGTGTGTACAGTGTTTTGTTGGGTGCTTGATTATAGTTTAATTATTTGTTCAAAACAGTATCTGATATAGCTTTGGAAACTGGCTGAAGAAGACATGCTAACATTCTTTAAAAGTGCTAGTATTTTCCACATTTGCATAAACTACAAGAGGAATTGTGCTAAGCTCATGGTAAATAGTTTTAGAGACTGAAAAATCTGTGACAACTTACATGTTGGCTCACTGAATTCTCACTATGCATAGAATAGAAACGGTGCAGGGTTTTCAGAAAGGACACAATGAGATCTAGTAGAGGTCTTGGGTGCACAGAACTGCTGATGTTGTGACATGTTCATGTGACATGTGACATGTTGATTTCCTAGTTGGATTGATGAGGTGATATGGGGGCATCACATCTTTGAATCTCTCCATACTATCAACTTTCTTCTTAATTTTGCACAGAAGGTGACTGTAAGGATGCTCTTTTGCTGTTGTTACTAGGATTAATGGATCTAATATACGGAATCTAAATTGCAGCAAGATGTCAAATGAGACATTCAGATGTGTGTCATGACTTCCAACTATAATGCTCCTTCATAGAAGGGTGTGTCTTTTCATTTATAGGACTATTATTTCCCCAGATCTCTGGTGAATAAGGTCACTGCTGGGGCTTTGTGTTTTAGAAGTAGAGTATCAGGGAAACTGATACTTAAAGATGTTCAATGGCAGTGTCACAGGAACTGATACTGATTCTTTTGGAACTAGATTGAAATTGGCATGTCCTGTTGTTGAAACAGTGTGGTAGTTGCTGTCCTGGAGACAGGGAATTAAATTGGCAGTATTTGCAAGTCTGTTCTGCTAAGTTATGTTTTTGTTTGTTTGTTTACTGGTTTTTTTCTTGGTATTTTTTGGTTTTTTTATGGTTTGTTAACTTATTTCTGAATATACTTTTCTGTAGATTCCAGCAAACTGGGTAAATCCTTCAGGCAAATATCACATTGGCATAAAAAATGGCTACGATATCTATCCTAAAGCTCTTAAGGAGAGGATTCAGGTAAGGAGGTACCTTTTGTTTTTGGTGTATAGTTGTATTTCACTGTTCTATTTCTCAGTTTTGTTTTTGGAAAACCACAGCATGTGATTTGCTAACACACTTAGGCTGCTAGGCAGCACTTGAGTGCTGTTCTCTCACTGATTTTTGTTTATTTTTGATACGATCAATTTCTTCTGTGATTTTTTCAGAGCAAGAGCGATTGGCTCAGTAGTCTTCCTCACAGTGCTCCACTGAGACAAAAAGTCTAGAAATTACTGATACTCTTTTTTTTTTCTGTGTGGCAATTTATGTTTATTTATAATATTGTATGGGACACTTTTAGCCACTGTATGTCAAATCAGAATTTTCAAATTGTTTTTGAAGATTTCATACTTCGACATGTATTTGCCAATATAGTGAGGAACCTGGTTTTATTTTACAGAAAGAACGCAAGGAAAAGCTCTGGGATCCTGTTCACAGACTGGCTCTAGCAGAGGCTTGTAGGAAACAAGAAGAATTTGATGCCGCTTTTAGCTCTCCTTCACAGGTTTGCGGAAGTCTAACTTTATAAACTTGTTGTTTGCAACAATTTGTTGCTAGTTGACAGGATTAAAATATTTCATTAGATGAGCAAAGGAAAGATACTTGTGACTATTTTGGTAGATAACTTACCAGTGTATCTTTTGATTAATTTAAAAAGTTTTTATATGAATGATTGTTTAATTTGCTTAGTGCTGTTAACTTTCTAAAGTTGTTGTCAAATATGAAAGTGGTATTACTTCAAAAACTTTGTAGGATACTTTTAGTAAGTTTTATTTTTAATTTAATGTGCTATTTTTTGGGCCACCATCTTTGCTTTGTTCAAAGTTGGAATCTTCTAAATATATTCTTTCATTTGTAAACTATGTACTATTTCAGTGAAGTACCAGAAATGCCTCAGGTTACTACTTTATCACTTAACAGTCTTTAAAAAAATAATGGCTTTAAATGTTACAATTACAGAAATTGGAAATAGTTTTGCATAATTAGCTGAAAATAAACAGTGCACTGTTGAAGGCCACTGAACTTCTAGATGTTTGTGACTCCTAGGTTAGTCTGACATTCCTGAAGAAGCAATGGAACAAATATATAGCATCAGAAAGGAATTTAGGATTACCTATCTTGTAATAATTTTAGAAATACTCTAACTGAATTTTGGTTGCCTTCTTAGGTAAATAAGCTAATAAAGGAAGAACTTCAAAATCAAGTGGAATTGTTGAATTCTTTTGAGAAAAAATACAGTGATCCTGGCCCAGTATATGATTGCTTAGTGTGGAATGATGGTGAGACCTGGAGGTAAATGCCTAAACTTGTCTAAAATGTCTTGTTGTAGACATAAAACAACAGCTTGCAATGAAGACTCTTGTTAATTTTTAAATCTGCCCCTTTTATGGAGGTTTTAAATATATTTTGCTTTAAAATAATCCTGCTGTATCGATTGAGTTTTTTGACAAAATTCCGATCCCAAATGAAGATGGGGAAGAATAAAACTGAAGACAGCATGATATGAGTGGAAGCTTGTGGGATTTTTTTCTGAAGGAGAATAAAATGGCTTTGAGTATCCATTGAGGATAGGAAAAAAAACACCTGAAACAAAACAGGTGTCTGTGCACAGACTTCAGGCTGTAACATGTCACACTTCTTGATTGATAATGTGCATCATATGAAACAGTGAGTAAGACTTCAAATGTTTGTGTACCAGCCCTGAACGGGTAGCTTTAGTAAAATTTTATCCCTGAAATTGGATGAATTTTCATATCCTTGCTTTTCAAAGGCGGATTTATTTGAATTTAGTAGCATTTGGCAATCAGTTTATTTAGAGATCTTGTAATTTCTGAGTCTTAAGTGTAAACAACCAGATTTTAAAATAGTGATTTGAAGAAGTAAGATACCATAAACACAGAACCAAACTTCTTGAAGTCTTTGTAGTATGTTGTGCTGGAGGGGGGAGATAACAAAAAGCTTGCAGCAGCTGGAAAATTGTCTTTTTATTTGTTTTTGTCAACAGAGCCTGCATAGATACAAGTGAGAGTGGTGACTTAACTAACTGTACAGTGCTGAGAACCTACAAAGAGGCTCAGGAATATGGATCTTTTGGAACATCTGAGATGTTGAATTATTCTGTGAATATATATGATGATGGAAACCTCCTGTCCATTGTAACAAGTGGAGGTAAATGAAAGTAAACTTAAGAATATTTTGCTGCTGCTTAGATGTCGTGATAAGCAGCAATTTATATTGGGTCCTGATTCTGATACTTGTGATGGCTTGAGGCCACTGTCTTAATACAGCATTCATTATTATGGCATTTAAGATTGATATTCAGATTTCCTGAACTAAACCTATGATGACAGCTCATTACCAAACTTGCTTACATTTTTCTCTGAAATATTGTTAAATTTGCTTACATAAGCATGTATACGTAGAATGTGTATACTTAGGTACTCCTTAAGATGTTCCTGCATCTTAAGACCTAAACTAGAGAGAACCTTCTTTCAAAACACCATTTTTGTTTTGTTTGTTAAGTATAGAGGGATGATTGATTTTTAGTTGCTATACTTTGTGCTTGTATATTTTAAGAATTTAAATAAGATATCCATGAACAAAATGGGTATTGACCTTTCTTTAGGTTCATACAAACTTTTTTTTGTGATGTCAGGGGTTACTATAGTTGTAGCTCCAACTACTCTGAACCCATAGTTGTGTACTCTTTAAATAAGCATGTTTTGGAAGCATCCTGAGTGGTTAGGGTGATATGGATGTATTTGATTTGAAAAATGCTCTTAATTCCTCATGAAACTATCTCAACTACAAAACAACTACAAAAGCAGTTCTGGTTTCTAAATGGTTGGTAATTTTTCTGAGACATTCCTTTTGTATTACTGTGCAGTTCTATTTTTTTTCCTAATCCTCACTATCCAAGTCATTTCAGATACAGTATTCATAACTTTGAGTAGGAAGCACTGAGCCTTTGAAGTAACTTTTGTCAGTGGGATTAAGTTATACTTCATTTCTCTCTGCCCGCTGCCTCCTTTGTCTCCTCAAAAAGCTGTTTGCTTTGTTGAACCTCCTTCAGTTGGCCTCAGCCTGTTGATCCAGCCTGTCCAGATCCCTCTATAGAGCCTTCCTATCTTCCAGCAGATCAACACTCCCTCCCAGCTTGTTGCTGGCTGTAAGCTGACTGAGGGTGCCATTGGATCCCCTTGTCCAGATCATCAATAAAATTATGAAACTGGACTGGCCTCACTGAGTCGTGGTGAACACCACTGGTGACTGGCCACTGATTGGATTTATATCGTTATAGCTCAGTAAGTGAAAATTAGTTGAGCTGTAGTATATTAAATTGATAGAAATGGAATTCACTAAACATACACACTTTTCATTTGCGCAGGAGCACATGGAACACACGTGGCTAGTATTGCAGCTGGATACTTTCCAGAAGAACCAGAAAGAAATGGTGTGGCTCCTGGAGCTCAGATTCTTGCAATCAAGATTGGCGATACGAGACTGAGTACAATGGAAACTGGCACTGGTCTAATAAGAGCTGTGGGTATTTCACCAAATAAATTGTTAATCTTAGCGCTGTGATTAAAGTGTAGAATATGGTGAACCTTTCTGCAGGCTTATAGGCTATGTTTTTATGGTTATGCAGTATTTACAACAAAAAAACTAACCAAACACAAAAAAACAACAACAAAACAACCCACCCACTCAATCCTAAAAAAAACCTGAAAACAACTAAAATGTGTTTTAAAGCATATTTTAAGACTAATGTTTTAATATAAAACAAGACTTCTGTTGCATAGAGCACAGAGTTTTTTCAGACTGACAGACTTGCAGTGTGTCTGTCAAGCTTGACACGCAAGTGAAGTTACTTGCACGTTTGCTTTAAGTTCTATGTGTTGTGAGTGTATTTTTTTATAGTTACTTAGATATTTATAGAAGACAAATAAATCTAGAATAGAGACTAGTATCTACCTATGTGGCTGAATTTATGTGAACTTTTTTATTAAAAGTGAGGAAAACTATCATTCCTTTTAATGATGAAAGGCCCAAGACCTTTTCCATATGGTGAGTTGATGGGGAAAAACTTTACACAAGAAAAGGATCTGAAAATAGAAAATTATGTTTCTGGCCCATAGTACATTTTGATATAGCAACATGAAGATGTACAATAATGTTTTGCAACTTTTTGGAGTTCAGCTGAAATGCACAGGAAAAGGAGAATTTTATGTTATTGAGGACAGACATTAGTGACAATACTGATGATGTCTACAGTTTTCTCTTAGGGTAATGTCTTAATTTATAGCTTGGAATGTGGCAAGAATAAGGCACTTCAGGGAGTGGTTTGTTTTAATTCTCTTTGTTCATAGCACTTGAAAATAGCACTTAAATAACTGACTGAACTAAATTATTTTCTAGAGTGAAAAGAGATTTATCCCACTTTCTTAGATATGTAGCAGATCAGTTCAAGCAGATGTTTTTTGTCATTCCAGAAGTGACTTATTGTGTGACTGGTATATATTTTTGCTTTTATTTTTATTTTATCAGATGATAGAAACAATAAAATACAAATGTGATCTTGTCAACTATAGCTATGGAGAAGCAACACACTGGCCAAATTCTGGGTGAGTAGTACTGTAGTTAAAGTATTTCACTTTCACAGAAGCGGAATTATATTTGTTGAGCTTTGTGTAAACCAGCTGTCACTAAGAATGAATTGTCCAGGCCCATGATTCATGTGTTAGAAACTCTGCAGTCTACATTTTAAACAGTCTTTAAAAGTTAGGTAAACCTATCCAAAAAGCTATTAATTTATAATATACAAACAAATATATAATATATAATTTTATATTTATATATATATATATATATATATATATATATATATATATATATATAATATTTTAGATTAATAAAGAATTTTTGTAGCTGCAACACCACATAATCTGTGGGGTATGTTTTGAAGACCTAAGATTGCTGTAGCTGTTACTCCTTTTTAAAACCAGGAGGTATTTTTGTGGTCAACTTCTGTACTGGAACCACCTCTGCCAGGTGTGGGAAGCAGGCTACGTATTCCTTGTTTGGTGACTGCTCAGAAGTTCTACTAAAAATGGGAATTTTGTCCTATGGAAGAAAGCAATATTGTTGCTTTAAAGCAATATTGTTAAATGACTTTTTTTTTCCTCATACTTCAGGAGAATTTGTGAAGTGATTAATGAAGCAGTGTGGAAACACAACGTGATCTATGTTTCAAGTGCAGGAAATAATGGTCCTTGCCTCTCTACAGTAGGATGTCCTGGTGGAACTACATCGAGTGTGATAGGTACACAATTTGTTTTGAAAAAAATTTTTACAATATTCAGCTTCTGTCTTTTCAAACTTTGTACTTTTGTTACATGTTTGATTGCTGAACTAAATCCAAAAAATTTTCAGGCTGCTGGGCTACAAGATTAATTCTGACGAAGGCACTTGCTATATGCTTAGGGATAAAAATTTAGATTATCTCCTTACAATTCTTGCAAGACCCTATGTAGAAAAGAGAGGTAGGAGGCAAATGGTCTTGATTCAATATGGCTTTGTATCAAATGTATAAAAGAAATCTTTGGTTTTACTTATTTGAACATTTCAGGATTAGTTTTTTAATTAGTTTTTCAATTAGTTTTTTGTCTAAGCACACCACTTTGTTCAGACCAATAGCTGCTGGTTAATGCAACTTGTAAAAAATATGATTCTAAGTTGGATTCCAGTTAATCTTCTGGAGAGTCTTGCAATGCATTCTGAATTGTCAGAACTGTGGTTTTGGATCATCTGTCTTCATCAGATAGTCTAATTTTATTTGTAGTGAAACAAATTTTTTTAATTTGGATATAAAATAATCCCATGTCAGGACCTAGACAAGTCCTTGAGGGGAGGAATCTTCCAGCTGCAGTGCTACTTCTGTGCAAGCCTACTACTGGCATAGAAGTTGGTTTTCTGATGGACTAACATGTTTTTGACATTTCAGTGAAAGATTGACTTACAAGACTTAGCAAAATGTCTAGCATTTGGGGGTAACTTCCTTAGTCTTAATTTTTATATAAATCCTCTGTTGCCGCATTGTTGCGTTACGCAAGATGCTTATTAAGTCTCAGAATTCTCATTCAAGAAGACTAGCATGGAAAGGAGACTAGCATGAAGTCATGAAAGCTGGAGAGCTGCTGTTTCAGGGCAGCTAGTAGAACTAATGCTGATTACTTTCTAAAAGTTAATCTGCAATTAATTCCTTGCTGAGACTGGGGGTTGGAACCAGAACTAACAAGCTCTTTTCAGGTCTGTATTGGCTTTGCTCTTAGAATGCATCTACTCTGTCAATTCAACTTACTTGTTGTATCACTCTAGAGACTGGATGATCTTTCACTCTGCATGCCAAGTAGCTTGGTCCTTGTCCTCCATCTGGAGTGAATCAGATAGGGGTTTTTTTTTTTTGGTTTTTGAGGGTAAAGCAAAATACAGCTGGCAGGTTGGCTTAGTTTACACAGATATGGACATGGGCCTTGCCAAATTTGTCAGCTTGACATTGTAGTTTTCTGCCATCCTGATAGTGCTTGTGCTGTAAACAAAGTGGAGTGTGCGCTTTAGAATAGGTAAATGGCATAGTTGTAATGTGCATCCTTGGCATTCTGTTCTAAAAATGCTACTTTGTCAGGCTTTGATGTAGTTATTTATGTACTCTCTGCACTTTGAACTGATACACAGTAATGACTGTCTCATAACTGAGTTTGAGTTGTGTGGATGTGGCTCCAGGTGGTATAGCTGTGAGCCACATGAACATGAACCAAATCATGGTATGGATTGCTTTGAAGTATGGTTGTTATAGTTCATAGCAGTGTAAACGCAGCCAAAGGGGCGCGGGAGAGAGTGGAAATGAGTAAAAGGCATCTGTTGTGAAAGAAATGTGGAAGGTGAATACATCCTATTCCAGCTGAATAAAATTGAAATTTGGAAATTTGTGTAATATTTTAATATTACATGGTGTGCCCATCAGTGTTGTTACTTCATAGCATGCTGCTTTACATTTGTTTAGCAAAAATACCTGGATTTAATGAGATGGAAAATGTGTGTTTCTGTTTTTTAAAAAACAAGAATTCTTCTCATAATGAATTAAAACCACAGAAATATTCCACTTTAGCTTTTATTAAAAGTTCATATTACATCTAAAACACTTGAATGTTTTTTACAGGTGTTGGTGCCTATGTATCACCTGACATGATGGTTGCTGAATACTCTTTAAGAGAAAAACTGCCTGCAAATCAATATACTTGGTCATCCAGAGGGCCTAGGTATGTTATACTCTTAGAACAAATTATTGCTTTCGAAATCTAAATTGGTCATTAATACCAGAATAAAAATTTCTTTCCTGTGGAAAGATCATAGATAACCTGCTGTTCTGGGAAGGCCTTTGAATATTGGGCTCTAGAACTCCTGGGGGAGGAGGAATACCACTGAACAGCTTCAGCACAACCTGTATTTTTCAGGAAAGTGTATTTGTGTGCAGACCTATTCAGAGATGATAAAAGTCGATGGAATGTTTGGAAATTTGTTTGGGTTTTTTTAATTTAGTTTTTTGAGAGATTTTTTCATAGAATTTATGTCATTAAGTTAATGTGGTGAAAGTAATTATTCTGTCAGTGCTGAAGATTAAAAGAAATACTGCGGTGGTGTTACCTCTGGCTTCACTGACATTGCTACTGTTGCACAACTTACTCAAGGATTTTGTTTGAGTCTGGCAGAGGTGTGAGTAGGCAATTTTTTTTTCTACCTCACACTATAGAAAATTACCTCAAAGAACTATAAAAGAAAATTTAGGGGCAATATAAACTTCAGTTTTTATTTCATGTCTCATAAGCATTTGGTACTAATGTGGTAGACAAAAGAAGAACCAAAAGAGTGTATGTCTGTTTGAGTTCTTACCTGTGTTTAGACTTTAGAATTGTTCTGTAGCTGTCATGGTGTTTGCATAGTGGTGAGGATATTGTTTCAAGAATCTTGCTATGAAGAGTTGTCATGTTTCATATAGGGAAAAGAGAAATGTGGTCTCTGCCTTCAGCTGAGAAAGGGAGAAAGATTTGTAATTAATTTTTATATTCATACACACACACATACATATAAAAAACCTACATTTTGTGTACTTAGTCACTGTGCATTGTAAAGTAGTCAGAGTGAGCATATGTCAGCTGAAAGGCCCAAAGGAGGATTCCTCTTGTGTTGGGTACAACATGCAGCTGACTGGAGAGTTCCTAAAGCTTTACTACAGCAGCCTTGGTATAGGGGATCAGTCTGTCTGAGTAAGCGGCAGAGGCTTTCAGGCAGCTGTGCTGTGCACTGCGTGTCCAGAGGTGTTCTGGTACAGAACCTTCTATACGTTTATATGTGTCTGTGATAAAATATGTCCAAACATCACATTAGAGTATTGTACTTAGAGTACTCTTGATTTGAGACAGATTTTAGATGTAAGAGATTGTCAGTGTGGTATATAAACGCCCTATAATACCCTGCCTCTCTACAGAACCCAATAGCTCGGGCACAGTGCCATCCTTATTCAAGCGATGCAATTTTTGTCTATCTGGAGCAAGAAAGATGGAGCATATCTGGCTCGTAGAGTTGAAAACTAGATGATGCTTTAACTGTGCCAGAGATCCTTGCTCTGTTCTTAAATATGCTTGTGAAAGATAGGCCTAGCTAATCCTGATCCAGCTCTTGACATTCTGTTTGGTTTTTTTTGTTCTTCCCCTGCCCTCCTTGTTTCAGGTTTGTTTGTTGTAATTCAGAACTTGACCTGGTAGTGAACTGGCAACATAGAAAATTAGACATCTGGGGTTTGGATCTTTTCTAGCCTTCCTCTGCCTTTTACTATTTTTCTTTAAAAATAATAACCATTTAATAGGCTGTGTAAAATACTATTTTATGTATTGAAGTGTTTAATAGGTTTGTTTACGTGCATTTTCTAATTCAAATCTCAGAAGATAGTCTGCTGGCTAAACCGAAGAGTATTGAAGGGGTGAAAATTTAGAAACCTTTCACTGTAAAACAGGCATAGCTGATGATTAATGTGACATTTTAAACTGTTACTTGTTGCCGTGCTTTGTCTTGGCTTAATGGGTTAATGGATTTAATAAAGTAATAGATTGCAAATGTTCCCTAAAGCTAAAATTTTTTGAAGTGTACTGATAACTTCAAGATAAATTGTGCAGAAAAAAAAAAAAAGTTTGTTTTTTAACCAATTTTTTTTAAACACTAGCACTGATGGAGCCCTTGGAGTAAGTATTAGTGCCCCAGGAGGTGCTATTGCTTCTGTTCCAAACTGGACTCTGCGAGGAACACAACTCATGAATGGCACATCCATGTCTTCTCCCAATGCATGTGGAGGCATTGCATTAGTGTTGTCAGGTAATGTTCTACAATGTTAAACTTAGATGGGTTATCTAAAAGAGATTAAATAATTTTTCCTCTTAAAAAATGGTGTAGCTTTCAAATTTTTTGTTGTGTCCAATAACACCCTTATTTTTAATTTCAGGACTCAAAGCTAATGGTATTCACTACACTGTACATTCTGTCAGAAGAGCTTTAGAAAATACTGCAGTGAAAGCTGAAAACATTGAAGTGTTTGCACAAGGACATGGTATTATTCAGGTATTTGCTAGCAAAAACTCCAGGATAATATAAGTAACTGTCAGTGGAAAATTAACCCACAAAAAAGCTGCTTTCTTGGTGATCTTGCTTGGTGATCTCACTACTTGATTCTCAGATCTGTTTGAGCAAGAGGAAGGGAATGTAGTGGGAGGGGAGAATAAATGAGAAATTCTTCCAGTTTCAGCATGCAGTTACTGTAGAATAAATGTGTTAACTGGACACATTTTTAGGCTCATCAAAAAGGTACATGGAAATAAAAGTGGAATGTGGGTTTTTATCACCCACATTTGAATGTGTGCCTAAATTCTGTCCTAATGTCCAAAAATGTTTTTATGTATTGTCAGAGAGAACTGAACTTGTTCTGTTCAGACAAAAGCTGGAACTGTAAGTTCTGAGCAGTGAAAATAAATGCCCATGCTGGTTCACATAGGAGTACAGCTGCAGTTGTGCAGTGACTTTGCTGCAGGCTTGCACTGAAGTGCTCATTGTATCCTGTGGACTTTTAAATGACTTGGCAATCTGATGTGATCCTCTGTATGATGAAGGCATACTGAATTAGTGTCTCCGTATGCATAAGCTTGTATTCTTACAGAGCTGCTGCTCTTTTTTGCCTACAGTCACTCCCATCCTAGTCAAAAGAAGTACTGAGATTTTTCTCTTGTGCTTCAAGATGGTAGATATTAACTGCTCAGTCCTAAACTGACGTTCTGGAGATGCTAGAATGTAGTAGGTAATGTCCGCTAAGCACATCTATAATGACACAAAAGGCAGCAGTGGTGGTAGCCATACCAAATAGAAAACGTTGCTGCAGAAAAATGGAATGCACCAGTTATACTTTGTGTTTTAGTAGCCTGTGATTAAAGCATGTGTTAAAATGTGGTTAGAACTGATCCGTGAGACAAGGCTATTGTACGTACGCTTGTCTCAAAGGAGAGCACCCTAATCTTTGCTGGTGAAGGTACCTTGCTGCCAAGTAGAAGAGAATGTAAGATTTTTGTAGTCAGTAAAATAGCAAGCAAGGTAGATGGTTGTCTTCTTAAAACAAAAGCTGAATTTGTCCTGCAAGGCTACTATGACAACTCATTTACTTAGACCTAGGGATGGATTTCATGACCTGATTCTCTTATTTCATACCAATTTTTAAAACTTACATGGGCATCCCATATTGCTTGTCTCTTTTGAATTGCTCAACTTTTTATTGTATAAAAGTTTTAAATGTTTAACTGGTGTTGCTTCACCTGTGAAAAAGTCACCTGAATTGGTATCATAGGTTTGGGCCTTGAAGTCCACTTTGTCCTTGAGGTCATCTCTGAAAACTTGTGTTATGAATTTGTTGATTGATTTGTAGCAGAGGAGACTTGGCCTTTTTATTTTAAATGTTCTTGGCTTTCTGGGCTCTGTGTGGCTGTTGCAGACAGGAAAACTTGCCTCACTTTCTATATTTGGTGTTGTGGAAGCACATGTGGCTCAGGTAGCATGAGGTACTTCACTGTTGCTGTGCTTGCTGAACACTTCATGTTGAAGAGAATATGCATAAATTACTATTAAGTTGCAATTTGTTAATTTATAACTTGTTCTTTCTAACAGGTTGATAAAGCCTATGACTACCTCATTCAGAATTCGTCATTCACAAGCAACATCGGCTTTACAGTTACTGTTGGCAGCAACCGTGGAATCTACCTCAGAGATCCGGCCCAGATAGCTGCACCATCTGATCATGGGGTTGGCATAGAACCTGTCTTTCCTGAGAATACAGGTAGGAAAGAACTTTTGTATGTGAAGGTGGGTGGGGACATAAAAACGTGATCTTGAAGCAAAAAGTTCTGATAATGAGGAGTGATAGGAACCTGTACTGTAAAAGGAGTCACTGTAACTCTAAATTTCATGGTAAATGAAGACACAACTAAAACTTGTCCATTCTAACCTCAGACTTATAACTGCAGTGCTTTAATGTTTTGGGAGAGTCTGTTGCTTCATGCTTCCTCCCACTGAAAGAATCTCTGCTCTGTAGAAATTTAAAGTGAAGTTATGGGACTAGGGAAAAATAAAAAAAAAAAGTCAAACATTCCTGATGTTTCATGAAATTATAGAACTATAGGGGCTTTATTGTAGATAACTCTTGACAAGGGATGATTACTGTTCTAAAGATGAAAGCACTTACCCAGAAATTAGTTTCTCAGTTGTTTAAAGAGTATAAATTTTAGATTTGGACTTTAAGTTTCCACAACCTGAGAAAAATCTTGTTTAACAATCTAGACTTCCATTCAATATCTAATAATTGATAATCATAAATATATCTAGGGGCAATACAGCAATTGATACAGGTTTTACTTACAGAGTAAAAGTAACTTATGCAGATCAAAATAAGATTTGACATCTTTTTTTTCTGTAAACCATTTTGCCCTGCTTTACTTTATTTAATAAAAATTGGAACTCACTGAGAGACTGAATTACATTGTATTTGAAAAATGAGCCATGTGAGAGCTTGTTACTGAGATTAATTCCTTTCCTAAAACTGGAGATTCTCAAGAAGGTTGGCATGTGGCAAAGGGGGTGAGTTTGCTTAGGGGAAGAAAGGGTATTATTTGGGACGGGTTACTGACTCAGAATAGCTTAGTTATTTGACAGCTTATATTGCAATCAGTGCATTTTAAATTTAACATGTGACACAAAAAAATGAAGTCATCATACACTACACTCTTCTGCAGGAAACAAACAAGTTGAAAACAATTAGGCATTTGTAAGGGGTGAGAAGCTTGTAGCATGCTGTTGTTTCCCTAGTACCTGTCCAGTTGTTATTTCTGTGCTGTGTCTAGTGTCTTCAACATGACTGAGTTTGAGAAACTGTAGTAAGTGGTTAAGGGACATTGATTGCTCACTCTGTCTGTTGAAGCTCTCTTTGAGCTTTTCATCTACCCATAAAGGAATTACATCTCATAATAGAATGCTCTTTTCTCTAATAAAGATGTGATGAAATGTCTTGAAAATTAATCTAAGCTTAATTAGGAACAGGAAACCTGAAAAAAGTTTTTGGAGGTGTTATCTTTGGAGCAGGAAGTTGGTTTTTAATAACTAAAACATTTCAACTGGGTTGGATACTTTCCTGGAAGCTTAGCACTTTTTTTGACATAAAAGCTAATTTATAGAATCTGACTGTTTGCAAAGTCAAACTAGATTATCATAGTAATTTTTAAAAGATTTTTCTTCTTGCTTAGGTTGCTCAATAATGTAATTTGGTAATTAACATAACCTTCAGAATCAATGGGATTGCTTTTTATTGTATTTCTCTGCATTAGGCAACACTTTATCTATAGAAGGAAGTTTATAACTACTTCCAGACTATGTTGTGGGTAACTGAAGCATTTGCTTACCATCCTACTTTTGACTTTGTTGGGTTTGACTGTTGTAGGGGGGAGGATTTTCAAAGTTGGATACAAACTTTATTTTACTGCATACTGCTGCTATTCTGTTTTTCTCAAGTTAGAAGAAGTAATATAGAACACTGCCCTTTGTGCAGAATCTGACGTCCAAGTGCCCTAAGGAATTGATTCCTATTACATTTTATTGACGTGTGCATTTTAATAGTAAATGCTGCATTTATAGCAGGCTATGTGCCCATATTTGTGTTACTGACTTGTTTCTTAAATTTGTTTCTTGACAGAAAATACTGAAAGAATATCTCTCCAGCTTCATTTAGCTTTAACCTCAAATGCACTGTGGGTCCAGTGTCCTAGTCATTTAGAGCTCATGAACCAGTGTCGACACATAAATATTCGTGTGGATCCACGTGGCCTCAGAGAAGGAGTACATTATACAGAAGTATGGAAATATTGGTGTTCTAAGTGAGATTGTGTGCTCTTTCCTTTTCATGTGGTCTCTATCAACTTTTTATAGAAGTAATTTTTAAGGAAATCAAGTCTGTGTGCTGTATAGACTAGAAGATAGTGCCACACTCCATTTCACTATAGAGGCTGAAGCCAGGGTTCAACCATGGTTATGCTATACAATGTTGTGTAGCACATGCCAGTAGGACTTTGATTATCTATGTTTAAAAAATAAAAATATATAAAAAATATAAACCAAATAAATAACCATTGATTAAGTTTTTTCCTCTGCATATATTTTAACCTTTGACTATGTTTCAATTGACAGATACTGTTATTGAGGATAGAGATTTGTGCTTTTATGAGGTCTTAAATATTTCTTCTGTGGTGGTTTAAGGACTGGCTTGGCTTTTGTGATGTTGCCATGCAGCCTTAAATGGACCCAAGATTTTGCTTTGGCTTTAGAAGTTGCTCGTGTGATTACACTGATGTAACATATTTTCTTGTTTCCTTACCTTTACTACATCCCATTTTGGAAGGCGAAGGAGGAAAGTGTGTGGTAATGGCTGTGTACTAGAAGATGTAGCTGACTTTGAGCATCTACATTCAAATTTTGTCAAATTTAATAACAAAGCCATTAAATTTCTCATTTACTCTCCCAGTCATCCTCTTTTACTCCTGCAAAAGTTACCCACCAACAACAATTATTTTTCAACCCTCTCTATCCTTATCACAAACCTTATATTAACATTGAAATGCTTTCATTGCATTGTACTTGATCATAATAAAGATGATACCAGCTTTCTCTTTCAAAGTGCTTGCTTAGGATGTTTAGAGTTGCAAGTCTTCTATGGTACCACTGAGAACATTTTAGCAAAGTTACTGTGAGAGTGGTGAGATGCTGGAACAGGTTGCCCAGAGAAGCTGTTGGATGCCCATCCTTTGCAGTGTTCAAGACCAGGTTGGATGGGGCTTTGAGCAACCCAATCTAGTGGAAGGAGTCCCTGCCCATGGCAGAGGAGTTGGAACTTAAAGATCTTTAAGGCCTCTTTCAACCTTAACCGTTATGAGATTCTGTGATTGAACATATTTTTCAAAGATAGTATTTAAAGCTTGGCTGTGAAAAGCATGGTAAATCAAATTATATTTTTTCTAACATAATCCTGGAAGACAAGGATAAAAACATTTTTTATATAACAATAAAAATATCTGAACTAAAATAAGTCTGTTTGGGACAAATTCTGAGTTGAAACTAGGTTGAGCTTTTGATATAGGAACTATCAAATGTGCATTGAAAGTTTGAAGACTTTTGGGGAAAGACTGAAATGAGTTAGTGTGAAAACTAATTTTTTTTTCCTCGGGGGTTGTTGGTGTTTTATTATTTCTAGGGTGACAGTGGTCAAATGGCTTTTTTTTTCTCAGTGATTATTACAAAGATTCAAAATACTCTGCAAGTAGTTTAAATTGAATGTTGTCTTCTGTAGTTTAGTTTTGACCAAAGATTTTAAGTAGTTGTATTTATTTTGTTAGGTGTGTGGATATGATACAGCAACGCCTAATGCAGGCCCTCTGTTCAGAGTTCCAATCACTGTTGTTATACCAACAAGGTCAGTAAACCCAGAACTCTGGGAGTTCTAGAACTTAATACTAACTCTGTTAAGGGAGTAGACACCTGAAAAGATTCTTACAGCAGACAGGCAGCTGTGACATTTTCATATGGTTTTGGTCCTGACAGCCAGAAGGCAGTGTGTTCTGGTGGGCTTAGCCACAGCGGCAGCAGCTTCCTGCTCCATCAGAATACAGATGCTTTCTGGCTTGTTTTACAAAGTATCTATCAATGTACTCATACTTGTAGGTCAACTGGAGTTGGCTTTTCATTTCTGCCTGGTGGACTAGAGTACACAGAGGCAGAGGGCCTTATTTGGCCATTGTACATTGGCGTACACTTCGGTCATGACTTTAATACAGGGCGTTTACAAATAGTATTGTGTCCATCACTGTTTTAAACATGACTTCAGTGATGTTGATAGGGAAGGGCAGTATTTGATTAAACCTGTTTGGTGAACAATCTGCCATGAGGCAGTGAGGGGAGGGGAAGTAACTATTCTCTGACTCGTTCACAGAGATATTGCTTCTTTCATGCCTTAGCTCACTTCAGTGACAATTCACTCAACCAGGAAGAGCAGATCCACTGAAAATGAGGATTCTTTGATACTTACGTTTAAGTGCTGTAACTTCAGGGAGGTGGGGAGGGTGTTTACTTAGTGTGGTGGAGCTGATGTTTTACATCTTTTGGATACGTTGTGCTGTCAGATTCTGTACTATTATGGATTAAAATAATTGGTGCTGAGGACTAAATATCCTTATTGTAGACACTTTTAGAGTGTTTTTGCATTTAAAAATACTTTAAATATTGGCTTCACAGCTTGTTTGACTACGATTTGTGTTTTCCTTTTGACATACAGAGTAGATGAATCATCAAGCTATGACCTGACATATACAGATGTTCATTTTAAACCTGGTCAGATCCGAAGGCATTTCATTGATGTTCCACAGGGATCTACATGGGCTGGTGAGGAAATAACCACCTTAATTAAGTAAAAAATCACATCTGTCAAACTTGACAAAGTTATTTTTAAATAATTTTAAGTTCTGCCTGAATCAATACTGAAGGATTCAACCCATGAATATGTAAAATATTTATTTGATTTTTAAGCTCTTAAAGGAGTGATTGTGAATTATCCTATGTTTTTTGGTATAGTAGGATCATGATTCTCAGTCTTAAAGAAACCAGCAAATAACAATCTGAAATGATTTCCTGTACCTGGAGGAATGCCCCATGTTTATGGAAAAGTATTACTGTCTGAGGTTTGTCTAGTTTTTAAGGTGTATGGATGCAGTGTTGAAAGATGTTGAACTGAAGAAAATGTGATTTTCATAAGGGGCAAGTAGCCTGTAATTTGGAAAAAGAAAAAAAAGGGGTTTTTTCCTCGTATTCCTGCATAAAATTATTAAATAATAATCCTTTCAAAAATCTTTCATTTAAACAGAAGTTAATGATAAGACTCTTAATTTGGAATTCAGTAGTCTGTCCCGTACAGATTGTACTCTGTAGTATCTGATTAATTTTCACCATTTGTGAAACATAATGTTTCTTTTAATTTTTCTCTACACATAGCTAGTTTGCCTTGATCTGAAAGGGTCTTTGAAAATAACTGATATATAAGCATTTTTCACATATGGAGCCACTTGGGCTGCTGCATAACTTCTTAAATTACAAATGACTTGCAAAAGTAGTGTTTCTCTGATGAATCTCTGCTTTCCTTCTGAAATTCTTGCGTCTTGAAACTAAACCTAATTTCTTTTTCTATAACCTAGAAGTGACAGTGAGTTCATGTTCAGCTGATGTGACTGCCAAGTTTGTGCTTCATGCTGTTCAGCTAGTGAAACAAAAGGCATATAGAAGTCATGAGTTCTACAAATTTTCATCCTTACCAGAAAAAGGATCAGTGACTGAAGCATTTCCTGTCTTAGTAAGTTACTTAGGGTGGTGTGGGGTAAATAAAGTATCCATGCATTATAACATTATTCTGGATTTTTTTTCCAAAGAAAAACCCCCAAACCAAGAAATCATGTGTTTGTTACAGTAGTTAGCGCATCTGATTTTCAGTCTAATAGCTTTCTAGGGTTTTTCTGAGCTATTTAGTAATATAATACATGTTAATATCTTCAGTTTGTTTCTATTTGTTTATACAAAGCAGTTTGTTTCCCTTTCAAGTAGGAACTATGACTTTAGTTCAGCTGTAGTTCAGCATATTTTGCCTTTAGTGGTTAATGTGGTAGTCTGGGACATCTTGATGTTTAAGCCAGGTGATAGCTGGTAGAGCAGGCTTAGCTTGGATAATGCTAGCTCAAGAGTCCAGAACACAACCTGGGAATGAGCTAACAGTTCAGAGCCTCCTAAATTTGTCCCCTGCCTTGCTCAGTTTAGTTGTATAGCTCTAAAGCCAAAGAGTAGTTATAATTTCTGTGCTATTCAGTCCCTTAACCTGTGTGAAAATGTCTGGTGGGGGGCCATAAGCTAAATTGGTCCCACTGACACGTTATGAATTTTATCATATTAATTAAAAAACAAAACAAACAAAAAACCCCACCAACCAGACAAAAATAAAATCAACCCAAAGCTCTCAAGCTTCATGTCATCTTATTTAGGCAGCGAGTGGGATCTCTTTTTCTAATAGGTGTTTTCTGGGGCACATATGTTAAACTCATCTGTGACCTAACCTGTCTGCCTAGTTTGAAGGTTAAGAAAGGAAAAGGTAACCTTTAAAAGCTTTACCATTCTGTGTAGGGTATATCCCAACACCCTTTGTTCTGATGCATTCATCAGTCATCCTGGTTTTTTTGGAGCTGTCTTGTGTTTTTTAACAAAGTATGTCTTACTTGGTACTGTACAAATCTGTACAGTTGGAGTAAACTGGACATAAGAGGTCTTTTTTGAGCTGTACTCTGATGTTTTTGTTGTCTTGGGAGAAGGAGGTTGGGGATTGGGATCAGTAGAAGAGGAAGATGGGAGCTTGAGTCCAACTTTGTGCTTTTTTTTTTACCCAGGCTGGAAAAACAATTGAATTTTGTGTTGCTCGGTGGTGGGCAAGCCTTAGTGATGTTAGCATTAATTACACAATTTCTTTCCATGGTGTACTTTGCGCTGCTCCTCAGCTAAACATGGTAAGTTTTCCAGAGTGTTTATTTTTAATTATTTTGAAATCCTATGGTATCTCAAAAAAGAAAGATTTTTCCTTCTTGACTGTACTTAGAAAGAGTTAAATTATCTTATACATGAGATGTTCATGTTCTCTCTTAAAAGTTGCAAAATGGTTCAATCCCACAGAAATGCCCATTACCATTATTTATGCTTTTTTTCTTTGCCTTTTCATTGTTAATCAGTAGTGGGAAAAGAAAGGAAAAGAACCCAAGCAAAACCCCTAAACTCAACACCAATAGAAAAAACATACTGAAAGGCTGAAATTGTAAATATGCTTACACTAGCAAGTGTTTGTGTAAATAAATTTCACTGGGCCCACAGTTCTTGAACTTGAATATCAAGATGAACATTGCTAAAAAGACAATACTCTCAATATCATATTCAGAATAAAATTTAATTAAAATTTATTTTCTGTTCAGTGTTTTATTGAGATTAGCTTGAGAGTCATCAAGCTGATTGGGTTGAGGGTCATCATTTAGGGCAGTTGAAGGCACAGTAGATGGGTCAGTGTCCTGATGACTAAGGCTCTGTGACACTAAAGGATTTGAAAAGTTGCTTAAAATGTTAGTATCATAATAGTTACAGTACTCTGTCTTGGTCCTATATTTTTACTGTCCTATGCAAGCTGGCTTAGCTTGACGCTGCCTCACTCAGGAGAGAGCTCTTTGAGAGCTAATAGGGAAATACATACATGAAGCAGCACCATGCCAATTTATCCTGGCTCCTCTCTTTTTTTTCAGCTGAAAGCCAGAGCAAATTATAGTTGTCCCATGGGTAAATTTAGATGTAGTCAGGCTCTAAGAGCTGAATAAACTGGGGGAAAAAGAGTGGGTGCAATGTGCTAAGGTCCCAGGGTCTTCAACCAGTAGAACAGTAAAAGAAGGATCTGGTGGTGGTGGTGTGCACAGCAGCTGCCCCCAGCCCAGCAGGATTACGTCAAATAAATAATGGAGAGTTAAAAATGAGAGAATAGGAACAGTTTTGCTCTTCCTTTTTGAGCACTGGTGACTTTCATAAAATAAATTTTAATAGTGCTCATGTATAGTCTTTGTCACGGGATACTGCTAAAAAGAAAGTTTTCAAATGATTTTGCCCATCACTAGGTCTGTCTGTGTAGTATTGTTTCTCTTTTGCAGAGTTAAGCTCTTCTGTAATAATAATCCTAAGAAGCACAATAAAATACTTGCTTTAATATTCTAGATGAATAATACTTGTATATATTGAGTTACGTATTGAAAAAAAATCATCCCGAATGTGCAAACAAAATCCAACCTTGCTCAAAGTATGACTTGTCAGTTCTATGCAAAGTATTTATATATTACATATATATATACTGATAATAATATAAGTATGTAAGTATATAAATAAAACTGTAGCCCCACTTGCTAAAGTTTTGCAAGTCCTGGTATGTCTGCTGTTGTAAAATAGAGAAGCACCTGTGATACTTTCAAAATCATGCAGTATTCTTGTTAAAGTGTAAATAATTACAGCTTGTGTTATATCAGGTGGTCCACATCTGATATTATAAGTGCACAGAAGCCTAATTGTTATATACTCTTTTTATAGCATGCTTCAGAAGGCATCGTACGATTTGATGTTCAGTCCCTGTTGAAATATGAAGATATTGCTCCATGCATAAATCTGAAAAGCTGGGTTCAAACGCTCAGGTAGAGTTTCTGGGGAGCTGTTTTGGGAGAGTGGGAAAACTAATTGTGCATAGGGTTAAAACAGTAACACGTTAACAGTGAAATTCAAAATTACAACAATATTCTTGTCAAATTCAAAGTAGCTTTGGAAGCATCAATTAATTTTTCAGCATTCCCTCTTTTGATTTCTTTATGGTGACTTCTTTCCATACAAATTAGTTTCCTTAAGCTAATTTAAAAAAAAAAAATACAAAAATATTCCATTGCTTCTGAAGGAGACACTTAGAGGTAAAATGCCTTTTAATATCTAAAAGGCACTTTAATACATAAAGAAACAAATTGTAGAGTTATTTGGTGCTACTGTTTGTTAGCTTGGGTTTATGTTTTTTTTTTAAGCAGCTGCTTCAGATCCTGCCCAGTTTTGACATGGGAAGACTCTTCTCTCTTGCTTGATTAGAAGTGTTTTTGTAGGATCTAGTGCAGAATTTTTTGTGGAAAGCTGTTTTTATCTTGTTGTCAGTTTGACAGCAATACTGATTTGGAGGAAAAGCTTTGTTGGAAAATTCCTAAAGAGTGCAGCAATTATTACAGTTGGTCACTTCAGAAGGATAAAAAAATGCCATGTGGTTTAAGCGGTGCTTTTAAGATGTGGGACAGACCATTTCATAGTGCTCAGCAGTCCAAAGTTTTCCTTTATTTGGGCCTGTCAGTGGAGACCTGGGGTCTCTGGAGGTTTTGGATACTTGTAACTGGAATTGAGGTCACTAAGAGTTTACTGTTTAATGAACTTGTCACCTAATGTTATATTCAGAAATACTCGATTTGATATGCCTTAAGTGAGGAAATAAAACAGTCCCTTAATATAGCTTTGCCTCATTCTTGGTTTGAAAAATGGAGATGCTCTTAAGTCCTTGTAGTCTTTAAGGCGCTTGTCTGACAGTAAATGAACTGCAATTAAGTAAACTATGAAGTAAACTTATGCATTTAAATTAAGGCAGGAATAGTGTTTCTTGAATGAACTAAAGAGTCATAACACAGAGAAGAAAAATACTGAATGGCTTTTCATTCTGTCTCTTGTTTCAAATGCTTGGAGGTAGGGTGAACGTTAGGGAGGTGTATCATGCGTGGTATTACTTGGTTCTTAAGTCTTCTGTCAGCAGTCTATCTAGTGTCTGCCAGACTAGGAAACCTGGGTTAAATGACTCAGCATACACATCTTACTGGGTGACTAGTCTGTGCTCTTGGCAGTGAAAGAGTTGGCAGAATCTTAGAGAAAAATTCTGATCATGTAGTTAAAGGTTGTCAGATTGAATGAATAAAGTGTAAACTTAAATTTTGCCAGGCCACCGTGATTCTGCTACTCTTTATTTCTGAAGCTCAGATTTTCCTATATCATTATTATTTAGTTTATGTTCTTTGATGCTTAATGTCTAAAGTGTTTGCGTTGCCCTGAGCAATGGCTTTTCCCAACTGTTTCTGAATTAACATACACTCTCTGTAGTGTACATTCTTCTGTATTACTACTCAGATTTCTCAAGGCCTCTTATAGATTCTCTTATGATACAATCTTCTGTAACAAGGAATTATCAACTGTTTGTTCTGTCTCCTAATTTCCGTACCATTAATCTTTTTGTTATGAATACAAGTGCTGATTTCAGTATGGATACTAGAAGTGTAACCTGATTTATTTTTTTTTTTGTTTCCTAAACCTGAGTCTGGTTTTCCTTTTTTTTTTTTTTTAAATGACCTTTTATTTTGAGTTTTAGACACGCTTGCTATATTGGCTTCTTTTTTTTTGGCTGTGTCTGTAATGTCATTAAACCTTGTTTTTGAACTGACATTAATTTTAACTGAGGAATATATGCTGCCTGGATAGTTACAATATTTAAGAGATGTTATTGCATTTGCTGAATTCAGTTGTACTTCAGAATATGCTTCTACTTAAGACAAATTTTGGTAGAGGATACATGTTTCTTAAGAGTACCTTTTGTTGTTTTTTGTTGTTTAACTGCAGACCAGTGAGTGCAAAAATAAAACCTTTGGGTTCCAGAGATATTTTACCAAATAACCGTCAACTGTATGAGATGATTTTGACATATAATTTTCATCAGGTAAGGTAACTGTTTTTTTAAAAGTCAGTGATAAGTACAGCATGTTTTCTAAAACCAGATAGGTCTTAATTTTAACTAACTTCCTGTCAGAAAGGAGGTCTAGATTCACACTCTGGACTCTACATCAACATTCTGATTTGGTCCACTTAAAGAGCTGCTGTTGCATGAAATGGGCCACAGTTCAGTTATTTTTTAGAATATGTGTATAAGGATTGTACTTGTTTTATTCTGTACAAGATTAAATGCCTTGACCTTTCTTTTAATAGCCTAAGAGTGGAGAAGTAACTCCAAGCTGTCCACTTCTTTGTGAATTGTTGTATGAATCTGAATTTGATAGTCAACTGTGGATTATTTTTGACCAGAACAAAAGACAAATGGGTTCAGGAGATGCCTATCCACACCAGGTACAGAGTAATGTATATATTTTACCTTCTGTTTTCTGCAGACAGTGAAAATTTTCATTCTTTTTCACCACCTAGCCCTGCTGTTAGCTCTTAATATTTCCTGATGCATAGATATAATGTTCTTATGTGTTCTCAAGAAGACACAGTCAATGGTGATGTATTTGTCTTTAAAAAATTGATAGGTTTGTGTCCATTAAGTAGAACATGATTTTTTTTCCTCTTTTAAGGAAGGAGAAACAGGAAAAGCTGTTAACTTATGATTTTGACAGGCACTTCTCAAGAAGTGAATTCAAAATCTTGTCTTTGTGTCTTTATGTTTGGGGTTTTTACAAAGACAATACCGTAAACTTTTCTATGCAAGGTGGAAAGAATCCATTATTTTTCTGTAGTTTTACTTCTCTGCTGTTAAATCAGAGGTTTCTGTATCCATGAAGGCTGTGGTTTTCTGTGCTGGTGCTTTCTCCAAACAGCTTTTAATGCTTCAGCATGGTTTTCTTCTTGTTTCCATTTTTCAAAGGGAGATTTTTGCACAACACTTGTAGATACTGTAACCTCTGTGGAAATCTTACTGCTTTAACAGTTTGTATGTCTGGATCATGGGGAAAGTAGGCAGGAATTAAAAAAAAAAAAAGGAAAAAAAGAAGGAAAAAAAAAAGATGTAAACATTTTCCATGGTTTTATGGTTTTGAAACTTTTTTTTTTACTAATCTAAAATCCAGTTGAACTTCATCAATAAAATGTTTATTTTGATAGATTGATCATCCCAGAAGTGTACAAAGACAGTTTCAAAAGACATGGTTTAATGTCTATAAATTACTTTCAGAAATTACGTTAAACTTCTATTCCTTAACCTGCACTTTTAAGATGCTATAAAATCTAGAACTCTAGAAAAAGTACTTTGTTACTTTCACCTGGTGGACCACCATGCTGTAACTCTGTGGTATTGTGCATCACGGGACAATTTTAAAGCAACTCAAAATTAATTAATCCAGGAAGAAATAGCAACAGGAAGCATGATTCCCTAACCTAGGAGAGGGATATTCTGGGAGCAGGGTAGTTCTGAATTACTGTTCCTTTCCTCTTGGGGCTGCCTTTTGTATTATTCCAGCAGCAGCAGAAAGGCAACTTAGCATGCCGCTGCTCCAAACATCCACATTGTTGCCCTTTTAGATTGACTGAAATGAAAGAATGTTTTCAAAACTAAGAATTTGATAGTCTGGAGGTTTTTTTCTTGGGTGATTTAATGTGGGGAGGGAGAGGATTCGTAGTTTTGTTTGGGTTTTTTTGTTTGTTTCTTCGTTGGTTTTTTTTTTTTAATAAATGGAGATTATTTATCTGCATATTTTTAACTGAGTGACAAGCTCAGGGCAAAAAGTCTGTCAGCTCTTAAAACTGCAACCATAGATCTCACAGGAATACTGGGTCCCTCAGTGTGAAAATTGGTGGTATTTGAGACGGTAGGAAATGTTCTGTGATCTCAACCCAGAGCACCCAAACATAGTACACTGAAAGTGTATCAAGGCAAACCTGCAGAGGTTTTGAACTGAAAGCTTAACAGAAATTCTAATTTGTGCCTGTTTTGTGGTCTGAAAACTTAATTTTTTTTCCCTCAGTACAAAACATGTTTTGGCTGCTATCCTGTCTTGAAAGCACTCTGTTTTCAGGAGATTCCAAAACCAAGCAATCTAATATATTTAAATGGCTAGAGCTATATGGATCAAGAAGAACATGACAGTTTTATTTCTGGGGTTTGTGTTTTTTTGTGAATGGTGAAATATTTAATCTAGACATTTATGAGAACTTCTTTCTTTCAGTATTCTGTGAAACTGGAAAAAGGAGATTACACTATTCGGTTACAAATTCGTCATGAACAGAACAGTGAGCTGGATCGCATCAAAGACCTTCCATTTATTGTTTCTCACAGGTTGTCTAGTACCTTGAGCTTAGATATTTATGAAAACCATAGCCTTGCTCTCTTAGGGAAGAAGAAATCCAACAGTTTGACATTACCACCAAAACACAGTCAGCCATTCTTTGTTACATCTCTGCCTGATGACAAGTAAGTTATTGAAGTCCTGTTTTTCCCATCTACGTCTAAACAGCTGCCTCTGCACCTAACTAAAATGATACTTGAATAGTGTCTACCTATTCAGGCTTGGTAATTCCTCTTGTGTTGCTCTTTCACTATTTGGCTTCTTCATTGTAGTTTTCATGGAACCTTAATTAACCTGATTTTAACACTGAACTTACTTTCTTTGAACAGAATACCTAAAGGAGCAGGACCAGGATGTTATCTTGCAGGAAGTCTTACACTATCTAAAACAGAACTTGGAAAGAAAGCTGTGAGTATATGAGATGGATGACAGTTTCTTTTTCTGAAACTTTTGTAGCAAGTGAATGGCATGCCAGGAAGTACTGTATTGTATGGGTTTATTACTTTAAAGAGCGTTAGGTTTGATAATATATAATGCATTTTAGAAGCAGTTGTTTCATTATAAAGTCAGCATAATTTCTAAGTAGCTCTAATTTTATTTTCATCTTCTAATTTCAAATTTAGTTGCATTTTCTAAATTGTGTCTTCTAGTTCTTTCACTCTGAAACCTTTTTATTTCTAGGAGCACCTGCTTTTTTGTTGGCATGGAGCCTTTAAAATTGATTTTTATAACTCCATAGCTTACTGTAATTTTTGAATGAAAAATACATGCATCTGTAGTGTTTTGTGCATGTTGGTTCTGTAACAAGTACCTATACTCTTCCTTGCATGCATACAATTTTGAGCAAAAATACGTGTTTTCTAAATACCTATGTTACCAAGTAGTAGGAATTTTGCTGGCTCGAGTACATAGATGTTCTTACCTGCTACACACTGATGTTGTCAACCACTAGTATGACTGTATGCTTCAAAGCAAGAGATAAGATCTTTGTGTGTGATGCTAGAAAAACAGCTGTAGGGTCTTTTTGCTCATAATGCAACATCCTGTGAAAAAATGGTTTTTAACTTGTATGACTTTCTAGTGCAACAGTGATTGTAGTAAGCACAACTATTTTCTGTGTATCTGGTGGTACAGTGTTTGGAAGATTCCCCTAGCTATTTTTAAACAGATGGCATACCTGAGATTAAATTTTAGTGAATCCTGGTGATTGTTAGTGCTTAAAAGGTAGTTCATCAATGTCTATATATCGCTAGATGTGGCTGAACAATATATATAAAATTAGAGTATGTTTTCATACAAAATAGGTTTCTGTGAGTAGGGGGGCATATACCTTTACATCTTGTCTAGCATAAAAGTTTAGTTCATTCAGTCTGATTTGGCTGTAGCTAGTACTTTTGGGGCAGATTGCATATAACTGCAGGTGAGATAATGTCTGTCAGGAGAATTTACATATCAGTGAGGAAAAACCCAGTAACTAGAAATCTAAAATGCCTAGTTTAATTATTTCCTTGTGATTCCTGTGAGGTTGTAAGTGTGCTTTTCTGAAATCTGTGGTAAATTCATTACACTAGTGTAGTATAGTTTCCCTAACTGGAATTTTGCACTTCCTTGAACTATTGGTTGTGATTCTTGCCCATTTTATTTTTAAACCAGACTAAGTGGCTATGTACAGTAGTTTCTGTGATAGGGAGCAGGAGATAGGTAGAATACTGCCTGTCAAATTTCATGTGATGGAGAAAAATTTCTTTCTCAGAGAGAAGTTCTAGCTGAGGCATGTCTCATGTCATAGTCTAAGGCATTACTGTTATGGTCATGTTTCACTGGAAAAAGGATGGTATCAAATAGCATCAGATACTTTCTGCTGCCTTTAGTGAATCTCAATATGTACCAGGAGACAAAAAAGGAGGACTAGGCAGCAAAGTTGTCTCTAAGTCAGCAGGTGGATGCAAGGTAAGGGAAAATGTATCTAATTTCTGTATATTTATTATGAAATACAACAATGCCAGTAAACAGTCAACAATCTAAAAACTAAAATTCTGAGGCTCAATTTCTGTAATTTAATAATTGAAGCTAAGTGGTTAACAACACTTGCTTATCTTACAGGAGGAATGGACTGTATACACAATGATGCATTGTTTTATTAATTTTGAAAACATGAAAGAGCATGCTTTAAGAGCATGTTTGAACATAGATGTGACTCTAAAAGTTGGCAATCTGTAGGTTGAAAGTATGACTATAATTGTACAGAGAAGGTGTCTCCATCCTGTGTGGTGTGTGCATGTTTTCTTACAGTATGTTATTCTAACTCCCAGGGGCAGTCTGCAGCAAAACGACAAGGAAAATTTAAAAAGGTACTGAATGTTAGTTTTTGAAAAAGATATGCTTAAGTCTTTTTGCATATGACTTAAAGAATTTGTCTACCAGTCTTGGTTTTTAATTTGTCTCCTTCATCTACCTACTTAGACCTGAATTATTTATTTCAGCACCTTACGTATGTTTACTGGTAGAATGACAAAACACTGAGAGGCACGTGAGCATGTGTATACTTTTGCAATAAGTGGTGTAAAATGCATGTGGTGATTAGTGGCCTGTATTTTTTCTCATTATTAAATATTCAGGAATCTTAAGTGTTTGTGGTCTAGATTTTCTGAGGCAAGTGTTTCTGCCTATTCTGTCTGCAAATTGAGAATTGAATACAAACCTAACCCATTGATATAGAATTGAGTAAATGAATACCTAACTCTATACCCAATCTACTGAATTGAGAGTTGGCTTCATTACAGTCATAAAAAATATACTGTAGGAAGCAATATTTTCCTTAGGTGAGATGGACTTGGTGGAAAAGTCTCTCAGTTCATGTTTCTACTTAAATTGAATGTATTTTGTTACAGTCTGGAGTTTATACAGTTGTGTAGCAGGTAGTAGAATTTACAGAAAGAATTTTGGAGTACATATAAGATATTTTAGGTAGGGGGTGAGTGACTTTCAATACAGCAGCGTTTAATATTGTGCTTTCTCGTATTTTTACATCAGGTAATACAATAGTCTGCCAGAAGTCAGAGTGTGAAACAGTTTATTAAAAGAATGCAAAAAATACTCCGTTAGACTACCTTTATAAAGTTACTGGGTTTTTTCTTGTTAGAAATAAGATCTGAGAACCATGGATAACTCAGTCTGTTGCCACATTCTGCTATTTTGTTAACAGTTAATTTATAACTGAACCTGCTAACTTACTCTGGTTTTGGTGTAATAACTGTGTGGGAATGTGATTAGGCTTTACAAGGAAGGATTTTAGTGCACATTGCTGAATTTTATTTTCATATCTGAAAATCATGCAGATCACTTTTAGTAAGTGAATGCATGGCTTCCTGATGAGTAGGGTATAAAATCTTCACGAAGTGAATCTCTAACAAGGGAGTTAAACTCTACTCATAATTTAATTTGCATAACAAAACCTGTTAAACAGATTAGAGGTTTCATGTTCTGGGGTTTTTTTCTTTTTTTTTTTTTTTAGAACAGAGATTTGTGTTCAGATATACTGAGCAGTATACCCACTCGAAGTCGAAATAAAAACTGCTGTTCTTTTTACTTTAATCTATTACTCATCAGTGTACTAGCAGCAAATAAATAAAACACAATGCATTTCACAGCATTGTTCTGTAAGACCTCTATTAATTAATGCATTTTTCTGAGAATACAACTCCGAGGCCTTCCTAGTTTACAAGTTTCAATACTTACCCTGCCCTGTCCCAAGTTTACATGCAGGTAAAATGTTTTCCAGCACAGAAAACTTGGGGGTTTTGTGGGGTTTTTTTGTGACACAGTTGATCAAAAAAGTATGTGTAGACTTTCCGTATTTTTCACAGACAAGTCCAGGCCCTCTTGTAAGATTAGGAGTGTTAATTTATATGTGCCATTTTTATTTTATGTGTGGGGGTTTTTTGTTTTGGTACCAATGACTAGTCTGTGGAAGGATTTTCTTGTTGTTTTGGGGTTTCTGGGTTTTGGGTTTTTTTTAGTTGAGGAGGGATGGAACTTGTTAGCTTGCATACATGTGCATGACACTATGAGAGATCCAGAGCAAGTATTTCTGGTTGGTTGAAAGTACTTCTGTTTTCACAGAATTATAGAACCGCTGAGGCTGGAAGTGACCTCTGGAGGTCATCTGGTCTAACCCTCCTGCTTGAGCAGGGTCTCCTAAAGCTGGTTTCCCAAGACCATGCCCAGATGGCTTCTGAGTATCTTGAAGGGTGGAGACTACACAACCTCTCTAGGCAACCTATGCCCTGCCTAGTCACCCTCACTGTGAAAAAGAGTTTCCTGATGTCCAGAGGCAACCTCCCGTGTTTCTGTTCATGGCCATTTCCTCCAGTCTTCTCACTATGCACCACTGAAGACAGTCTGGATTTGTCTTTACTCTCTCCCTGTAGGTATTTACACAGATAGAGGAGTTCAATCCCCAAATGCTCCACACCCCCCAAATGCCTTCTTTAGGCTGAACAGTCACAGCTGTTTCGCATCTTTTTCACATCTTCATGGACCTTCACTGGGCTTGCTCCAGTAGATCCACATGTCTCTTTTACTGGGGAGCCCAGGACTGGACATAGCACCCCAGGTGAGGCTTCACTGTTGCAGAGCAAAGGAGAAGGATCACAACCCTCAACCTGCTGATAGTAAGTGTAATGCAACCAGGGATACCATTAGCCCTCTTTACCACAATGGCACTGCTGGCTCATGTTCAACCTGGTGTCCATCAGGACCCCCAGCTCCTTTCCTGCCAAGCTGCTTTCCAGCTGGCTGCCCCACAGCATGTTCTGTGCCTGGATTTATTCTATTTGAGTTCTTCTTGTTGAACTTCATGACACTCCTGCAAGCCCATTTCTGCAGCCTGTCAAGGTCCCTCTGGATGGCAGCATGATCCTCTGGTTTATCACCCAGTCTTCCCAGTTTGATGTCATCAGAAGATGTGCTGGGAGTACCTCTGCCCCATCATTCAGGTCATTAATGAAGATGTTGAGCAGCATTCTATCCAATACTGATCCCTGGGGTACACAACTAGGTACTGGCCTCCAGGTGTGTGCCACTGATCACCACGCTCTGGGCCCAGCCATTCAGCAGGTTTCAATCTGCCTGGCTGCTCATCCAGCCCATACTTGAACAGCTTCTCTGTATTGCATAAAAGCAGTTTGTGGTTAAGCCAGGAAATAGCAGCCTAGTTTTCCAAAGATAGTGAATTCTTTTATATCTTGGACAAAAATGTCAGTATGTTCTCTCTACGCAATAAGCAGGTGTCTTTGTTTTTACAATTACTGATCATAAAGCAGTTACAATCTGGTTACTTTTTCCCCTTGTCTCTAAGTTTAGTCCAGAACCCAGTTAGAATGAAAAACAAGTCATTGACTTTTTCTGGTCTGTAACAATAATTTTGTGTTGTTTTACATAATGCAGCTTTTGAACAGCAATATGTAACAACTAGCCAAGGGATAGAAAATTTCTACATCTTTCTCCCTGTTCTGCCATTCTTTCCTCTGATTTAAAGCAAGAAACGCATTATGCAGGTATTGATAAGTACAGATGGGAGACTAATAAATAGCATTGTGAAGTCAAACATGAAGGGTGACTTCCTTCAAGCGTTAAGACACTATCCCTGTTTAATCATGAGGCCTTCAAAAATAGGATGAAGTATGTGCCTAATAAAATTTTGTGTAAGCCTGGCTGATGACTTCAAGAATCTTAATTTTCCATTAAATTAGAGTATTATCATAAAAATAAGCAACACTGCACAAATTGTATGCATCTTAAAGCAGACTCAAATTTCATATGTGCATTCAATTGTGTGTATGCAGAATTGCATTAATATGCAGATGCATATTAAATGAAAAATGAGACCTGGGATGTGTTTCTTGAAGGAGCTGTTTACCTATAGTTAGTTTTGCTGTGAGTGCTTTGAAGTACAGAAAACAGTAGTTCATATGTGTTTTCCACATAAAGTACTAGAAATTGAATCACTAGACAAAAATCTTTAAAAATTAAAATCTTGAAGCAAAATTAACAGTTAATTAAGCTCTTTTGAGAGGTGATTTGTTTTGAGCGCATTGTTCTTGTTTATGTATGCAGTTTGTAGTTCTAGTTCAAAGTAAATTCAGGCTTATCAAACTACACAGAGTACACTGACCAAAGTGCATATCCTATCTACTTCCAAAGTTTTTAATACTCCACTAATTTTTAGAGGATAAACAAAAAGCATCTTTTGCATTAATTTGAAAGATTATTTAAAGTATTTTTTTCAATGGATAATATTCTCACTTGCTATCTTTATCTGTCTACAGTTCTGTATCTTTTTATAGGTGTATGTAAAATCAGTACACTATTTTAGGAATTCTGTTCAGAGGGAAGTTTGAATAAGAAAACAAGCTGAAGTGCTGAATTGTAAAGAACTGCCTTTCTTCTCCTTAGTTTCTAATGATGAATGTCTCTGATGGCAATGACAGTGCCATTCTGAGATCTTCTGATATCTAGGGGGTTGCCAGGTTTTATAAATGATCCTAGTGTTTGCAGATAGAATAGAGAAAGAAGCTTTCAATCCATCTTACGGTCTTATTATAGTTAAATTATGTGTAATTAAATATTATAAGCACCTAAACTTTATTTATCCCATGAAATAAGTTTGAAGTCTGTGTAGAAGAGTGTACCTCTTATTCTGTAAGCTCTTTTAATAGAAGGGTGCCTGTGTCTGAAGCTCATTGATTTCCTTTCAGTGGTCATAGCTTGTAATGCTTGCAGAATCTCATGACCAAAAGTATCTTGCTGAGAGAATGGGGAGATGACATTTTACCGTTGATGGTTTAGCTACATAGAATTAGTCTGTCTAAGTGAAAGTGTTTTTCCACATAAGTGGGTTTTTGTTAATCCAGTTATGCTTGGTTTGAAACTTAAACCAGAGTAGTATAGTAGAGCCTTCTCATATAGAGAGGGCTTGAGAATGCAGAGATCATTTAGATACGTAAATCCAAAAATAGTTGCCAAGTAAGATCAAAAAGGACTTTCAAGAGGGAAATCCTGAACTATTGGAAGAATATTTCTGAGAATGGCTGGTTTCCTTCTTAAGAAAATATTAGTCTCAATAGAGGACATCTTTTAGAAAACATAGTAAACTCATTCAGATTTTTGTGCTTAACCTGTTAGGTATCTTAAAATGTTAGTTTGTTTTAATGGACTACATTGCTACATTGTTGGTTTCTACTGTTCTCATTACCTTAGTGAGCCCCTACCACGTTTCTGACCTCTGTACCTTCCTGCATGTGCTTACTTCCATGACCTCTTTCATTGTGCTCTGGCCTAGGTCTTGCTGAGTCTTATTTAGCTGTACTGACTGGTCATGCGCTTCATATTTGAAATGCATGTGTGCGGGATAGTTCCTGTGAAGGAATTATTCTTTATATTCCTGTTATTATATTCTTATCCTGTAATTATATTATTTTTTTCTTTATATGATTCCTGTGAAGGAATTCCTTTAATGTAGATTAGTTGTCTAAACTACTTTAAAAAAAAAACGGTATTTAGATGTCAGTGTTGTTGTTCTATGATTACATATTAAGTAGCTCGAAAAATTGTTTTAAGGGAATATTGATGTCACTGTTACCAGTACCGTGTTCGATAACACATAGCAAGTTACTGGTCTGTTCGAATTATCAGTTCAAATAAAATTTTTCTGCATCAGTGTCCTTGAATGTTTCAGAAGTGTAGTGTTCAAGTTCATTATTGCAATGTGGCAGTTTGAGCCACATTAGAAATCCAAAATCCAATTTCCAGGCTTCCCCACCCCACCCCTTCCCACAATTTATCCTAACACCGAAGAGAAAACTTTCAAGCCAGAGGCTTCTATAGGGGAAAGGGGAAGTATTTACATTTATTTACACAAATAAATATACTGTACAAACTAAAAGCAACTATATATATATATTATTACACTTCTATCAGTCCCTTCAAAGCTTCTCCTTTTAACTTTAGTCCAGGAAAAGCCTTTTCAGGCTGATAAGTAACCAGTCTCTCTCTCGTGGGAGTGTTCGGGGACCCGAATGCTCCCCCCTCACCAAGCTCTAGCTGTTTGTGGAAGTCCTTCCTTCCTCATGAAGTCCAAGAAGGTAGCTTTGAGTCCTTTCTCCTTGGTCCTGTGTCATTTCTGCTGTGTGATCTCTCCCTCTTGGTCTCATACCTCGGTTCTGTAGGCTGCTATAGTGTAGCTTATCAACATACACGTCCTCCAAGTCAGTTTTCAGCTGCCCCTGGTCAAACTTCGGCAGGGCAACTCCTGAGCCTCTCTCTCTCTGGCCCATCTCCAATTTCGCCTGGGATTCTTTTCCCTAGCACCGAGCTGCTTCGTTATCAGCCCATGCACTTGGCTCTGCTTCAATGCTGAGCCTTGCACCACTCCCACTAAACAGTGAGAGGGAAAAACAGCCCCCTTCTGCAACCTGGCTGCAAAGGGGGGGAAAGAAGAAGAGAGCCCAGCCGCAAGGCCTGCCTCTCTCTCTCTCTCTCTCTCACTTACCAGTTGTTTGTGAGTCGCGTCCCTCACAAACACACACTCACTCCAATGCTGTCTCTAACTCTGGCCTAGGCAGAGCTGGGGGGCTGCAGGGCTCCCCTCCCTCCCCCTGGAGGGGGAAGAAGGAGCCCAGCCACCCCCTGGCCTTCTACACCTACACGCAGCAGCCACCAACAGAAACTGCCACCAGCTTCTGGTGCTGTGTATATATGATTTTTTAGCAGAAGCAAACAAGACAAGTGGTGACTGGCTCTCCAGGGAACACTGCCCTGGCACCCAATCACCTCTGAGCCCCCGACTCTCAGGGGGGGCCAATCTTAACCCATGACAGCATAGCAGTTTCTAATAGCCACCCTTTTACCTGCTATTTAAGTAACCTTAAATAACTCCATCTTGTGCACAAGGTTTCATTTTATTCCACAACACTGACATGGTTTACGGGAAGCATTCCCACAAATGTATTGTGGAACAATTGGTAAGAATAATTAAATTGCCACAGTGATTGAGCATGCAACTCAATATTTGGCACAATGTTGCAACAGAGTAATGGTATCTAGAGGATGTAAACTTTAATGATCTTCTATGAAACATCTTATATGTAACATAACGGGACATGTGCCCTCACTGTTTGGGGAAAAGCTTTTTTAAAGCAACACAAAACCCAAAAAAGAACAAAACAGCCTCCTCCAGCAGTTGTAATATTTTAGAATGAGTGACTGAAATATAACGCTAGCTTATTTGCAAACTTATATGTAAGTTGCCTTGGGAAAAGGACTTCAGAGCATGGTCAAAGATGAGTTAGCTGTAGGTGATTTTCTTATGGTAATTGTTGACTAGTATAGCATGAACTCAGACTATAGTGATATTTGTATAAACATATAGTGTTTAAAAAAAAAACTTGCTGTTATGATGACTAATTTGAGCACAGGTACAGATGAAACTGGAAAGTCTGTAGCAGTTGACTGTAGATACATCAGCTAATTCAGTAGGCACATGGAAGAAATAGTATCTTGGGTGGAATAAATTTGTATATCCTGTGACATGTTTCGTGTTTATCCTATTGTGATATTTTTTAGAAATCAGTCATCTTTATTAATTTGCTTATTTCCAGATTTATAGGATAGGATCTCTAACTGTCTTCTTTTCCTTTACCTTTATCCAAGTTATTTGCTTTTTTTATAAACAAAAACCCTTCTATGTTTCTTATTCCCTAACTAATACCTTTTAAAATTATATGAATACAAAAATGTCAAACTTCATAAATTTTAGGCTTTCTTTTCTTACACCTAGTGTGCTGTCTTAATATTTATGTCCTTGCATTGCTTAGAATAAAAAGTTAAAGCAGTTCCTGAATTCTTAATATCTAATAACTTTGCTCTCAGAATCTTTACTCGTTGTATGTGTAGCTCAGAGTAGTTGCTGGCTATGATTTGGCTTTTATATTGCATCAGAAAAAAATGTACTGTATCCCTTTCAGTATGTGTCTTTTTTCCCACCTCCAGGATGTCCTTACTGTTCACTATCATCTGATACCATCACCATCAAAGAGTAAAAATGGCAGCAAAGAGAAAGAAAAAGAACAGGAAAAAGAAAAAGACGTAAAAGAAGAGTTTGCTGAAGCTTTAAGAGATCTAAAAATACAGTGGATGACTAAGTATGTCTGCTGTCCTTGCTACACAAGCTTTAAGCAGCTTGAAATTCAAAAAAATATTTAGAATCTGTACTTTCATGATGTATCCTCCTCTTTTCTAGGCTAGATACCACTGACATGTATAATGAGTTGAAAGAAGCATTTCCTAATCATCTTCCATTATATGTTGCAAGACTTCATCAGCTGGATTCTGAAAAGGTTATTTAACACTTCTTAAACTTGATGTCTCAATACATCCATGTAGCCTGAAAACTGAGTCTTTCTTCATATATGTTGGAGTTGAAGTGACTGTACTCAGTACTATAAAGCAGAAATTCCTAATTAGAGTGACAACTGCCTCCTTAACTGGTGGTGGTTTACTTAATCCCACAGCAGGGTGAAAGTATGCTTAACTATACTGTTTGCTTATCAGTTACTCCTTGTTCGGTTAAACAAATTGTAAATTTCCTTACTGGTTTAGTCTACAACAATATTATTCTGAATGGTGGTTATTGAGAAAAACACACATCCCAATCTGTTCCTCTACTGGATTGGTAATTTCTTCTGGCAGAATTGCTTAGACGACTGAGGACAGTAATCCCCTGAAATGACACAGCTAAATCCAGAATCTGTCCTCAAAAATGAGAACTGTGAACAGAAAAGTTTGCATCTGAGTTTTTTTTATGTTGAAGATAAAGACCTTTGTGTATATGCCACTAGCTTGAATATTTTTCTTTTCATTTGGTTCTGATTTTAAATTTATTTCTGAATTGAATAACTACTACCATTATTTAAGAGTATTGATTTGTACTGAAAGGTGATTTTTTTTCCATAAACTCTTCATTTTCCATGTACCGACCTCATATTTTTCACAGTTTCTTTTCAGTAAAATGGACTACGTATGCAGGAAATCTTGCAAACTTTCCAGATTTCTTTAAGCAAACTTTGGAGAAAGGGGAGAAAACGACAGGTTTAATTATCTAGTGTTACTTCTGCATAACTTTGCAGTTATCCTAATGCAGTGTGTTATCCAGTGAAGCGGTGTGATTTCATAGAGCTGAACATCTTTTTTTATTCTTCCTTTAGGAACGAATGAAAAGACTAGATGAAATTGTTGCAGCTGCAAATACTGTAATCTCTCATATTGATCAGACAGCATTAGCAGTATATTTTGCCATGAAGACTGATCCCAGGCCTGATGCAACTACTATAAAAAAGTACCTAACCAGTAAATAATTTTCTTGCATCCTATTTTTGTAATCTGTGTACTTTGTCTCTGCATATAAAAAATTGAATTACTATAACTTTTGATAACTTGTGGTATTTTTTGGGGCATAGGTAATTTCAAATTTGACTGTACAATTACTGTGTTTTCTTATTATATCTCCAGAATGCAGGAACACTGGAACCTGCAATTTTTCATTTACTCAATAAAATAAACGAGGGTGCTTTTAGGATTTTATTGTATCAGAAAAATAGAGTATTAAGTTTTTGTATCAAGCTCAATCTAAGATCAGAGGGACCAGCAGAATATTAGTAGAAGCGTGTGTTTTGAATGCTACATGCCTTTTCTTTATCTTTTACAACCATTCAGGTCTGTATTTGAAGACAAAATTGACATCAGCCAAAGAACTAACTGCTTGCAAAAGATTTTATTTGTGATAAGCATGATGACCATACTTCTGCTTCAGAGTATTTTTGAGACTCATTGTTTTTCTTTAGTTTTAGATTGTTCCTCTTAATTACCAGTGTGTATATATATATCTCCAAGAAGACACTGTTTTGAAGGTGACATCCTAGTCTAGAGAATAAGTGGTGGATTTTGCTGGACGTAGTATGGTGCTGTTTTAGTCATGAACAGAGCAGCAGATTTGAAGATTAGGCCCTCGACATGGGAGATGCATATTTGTTGATTAATATTAATTAATATTAATATTAAAATAGTGTATTTCAGTTGTAAATCTAGTCTATCTGTTCTGGCTATCCTGAATTCAGATTTGTGGGTAATTTTAGAATTGCTGTTGTAAAAGCAAAGCCATGACATAATAAACTTCATTCTAAACATTTCTTGGTAAGTTGACCCATTAGGTCATGCGGTTGAATCTAACATCTGAAATTAAACACCAGATTCAATGGTGCTTTAAATGGATGCAATTCCTTTGAAGTCAGCAGAATTGTATCTGCTTATGTTAGTGGTAGATTCAACTCTCTCTGTTGATAATGCCAGGAACTATAAAGCTGTGTATCTAAATGCTGGCTTACTTTTAGAAGTCTGAGTTGCCCTTGCCTTAAGACGTCAAAGGCATTTCAGACTTAGAAGAATGATTGAGTTTCTGTAATGCACAGTGTCTTAAGGTAATTTTTTACGATTATTTTAAGTTATAGTAACTACCCTTGGTTTAAAAATTATCTTTGTGCTTATTTTCATTTTGTGTATACTAACTACTGTAAACTCAGTTGGCACTGATTCTGTTCTTAAGGAGGTATCTGCAAAAATTCTAAATATTTTTTCATGCTGTTTTCTTTTTCTAGTGAAATGGAAAAACAGAAGAGTACTTTAGTGGATGCACTTTGTCGAAAAGGAAGTGCACTGGCTGACCAACTGCTTCATCTGCAGGCCCAAGAAGGGGCTGCTTCCAGTGATACAGAGGGCAAAGATGAGGATCATGAGAGGTGCTCAGAAGTTTTGACAGAGACATTCTGGGAAACAACAAAATGGACTGATCTTTTTGATAGCAAGGTAAGAGACCAGAACGGATTTTTTTTTCTTTTGCATGGTGGGTTTTCTGATAGTTTCTCTGGATCCCTTTCCCCACCCACGACGTGGGGGAGCCCAGTTCTAGTTCCTTCTCCATCTGAAGAACCATTCTGACGTCTTGAGGGGACAGGGAAAGGGAACTCCAGCGACAGGGTTTTTCAGGCCCCGAGCCTGGAGGGGAGAGGTGCCCTCCCCTTCCCCCAGCACCCACGTGGCCCCATGGCAGGCACAGAGACAGCACACCAGCGTGGAGAGGAGGCAAGAGAGAGTTTATTGCTGGGGATGTTACATTTATAGGGTTTAGGAGGATTCACAGAGTAACCAATTAGAAGTCCCAAGGGGCTTACAGGAACACCCAATCACAGGATGGGGTTAACAAGGTCCAATGGGAAACACCTCAGGACACCTTTCCCAGGACATTCCTGCATGGGAGATAACNAGGTGCTCAGAAGTTTTGACAGAGACATTCTGGGAAACAACAAAATGGACTGATCTTTTTGACAGCAAGGTAAGAGACCAGAACGGATTTTTTTTCTTTTGCATGTTGGGTTTTCTGATAGTTTCTCCTGGAATTATGCACCACCTTTGTGTGCACAGCCTCATACATTCCTCCCTTGTACTTTTTCATGCTGTCCCCATATCTTGTGCTTCCTAAATGACCTTTTTCCACAGAGATTTTGCCAAGCCTGTCAAATCCATGGTAAGCCCATCTCTGTGCATATGAATGTAGAGGTTAAGGGAAGGGTATAGGACAGTACCAGATTTACATAAAAAAGCTACTTGCTTTATTGAATTGCTTCTTTCTGTACTTTCCAGGGAATATTTTTGATTAACCTCTGCACTGTTGTAGCTGTGCACACAGAAGTGTGCAGCAACCCTACTCTGTTCAGTCCTGCATGCTGTAGTCTCTTCCACACCATGGACAAGAGAAGTTTTGTGTTTTGCTGTCAGTAGTATCTGTAGAGGTAAAGGAAGAATCCCTTGGAAATAATTACACTTATGTTTTTATTAGCACAGACTTTCTTGACATTTCAAGGTTCCTGATCCTGAGACTTGAATTTTTTTTTGTCTGCTTCATTCAAGACAGTTATTCCAGAAGGAAAAAAAAGTCATTGTAGGTGATTAGTTATGTAGCTTTTAATTTATAAAGGTTATGACTTTTTATTTTTGGCTGTTGAGCTATGTAGTTGCTGTACGTAGCTGTCACATGTGACTGTTTTAGTAGAAGATGAAGTGACCAATGTATTTGTTTATAATTGAGTAAAATTACAAACGCACTTCAAGTAGTTAAAAAATAAAAACTTTGAAAGTGGAGAAAAAAAAAGCCCCAAAACATTTAACTTCCTTGGCAGTAAATAAACTTCGTGTAAGAACTTATGCTTTAGGTGGAGGCCTGAACAAGAAGTTTGATGGTGCTCACTCTCGCTTAGTGTGTATGCCCTTGTACCCATACATCTTTTCATCATACCTCTCCTAATCATTAACTGATTATAATATTCTGTGGTAGCAGATTTTGTGCTTTAATCATATTCCTTGGTACATGATTTTCTTGCTATCTGTTTGTAAATGCAGTACTTTGTTCCAGTATAGTAACTCCTGGCTTACTTCTGTCTTCTGGTTTTTATTTTTTAAAGCTGATAGAATTTCAGGGGAAAAATGCCTATATAGACATTCTGTTAGGAGTTTATCACTCTTTGTTAATGGCTTTTTTTTTCAAGAAACGTAGTGATTCCAGGTATTGTTGAGCTGAATGCTCTGGGTCGGGAATAAGTAACTGATTTGAGTTCTACAGATTAGGAACTTTAACCTTTCTCTTTGAGTGGCTTAAGTATACATTTGCCTAAGTGCACATTCAGATTTTGCTCTGAAAATTTATGCTGCTGTATTGTTAAATTGGTACTGAAAAGCCAACAAAACTGGTTTACATTTCTGTAGCATTTCGTATGGAAATTACTTCCATCCTGTTTATGTAGTACGTTTGTCTTCTTTTTCCTCTTGGTTTTACTACTCAATTTGAAATCTAAACTGATTGATGGTCAGGAGACCTACAGAGCTACTTGCTCATTCCCCTGCGGTGGAATGAGGGAGAAAACTGGAAGAGTAAAAGTGAGAACTTTCAGGGTGAGATAACGACAGTTCAACAGGTAAAGCAAAAGCCACGCACACAAGCGAAACAAAACAAGGAATTCGTTTGCCACTACCCATGGGCAGGCAGGTGTTCAGACATCTCCAGGAAAGCCAGGCTCCCTCATATGTAACTGTGACTTGGGAAATTAAATGCCATCACTCCAAATCTCCCCTATTCCTCCTTCTTCTCCCAGCTTTATATGCTGAGCATGACACCATACAGTGTGGGATATCCCTGTGGTCAGTTGGGGTCAGCTGTCCTGGTTGTGTTCCCTCTCAACTCTTTGTGCATCCCCAGCCTGCTCACTGGTGAGGTGGGGTGAGAGGCCTTGACTCTGTGCAAGTGCTACTCAGCAATGACTAAAACATCCCTGTGTTGTCAGCCCTGTTTCCAGCACAAATCCAAAACAGGGCCCCATACCAGCTACTATGAAGAAAATTAGCTCAGCCAAAACCAGCACAGAAATGAAAGAGAAGGAAGGGTAGAGTGGAGTAGTCAAGTCAGACAGGAGACAGACTTTGTATGAATGTCCTTCAGTGAGAATCCTCAAGAAGCAACCAGCTTATTCTAAAGCAGTGTGTAGTAAATTAAAATGTGGACCTCTTCTGTATGTGGACATGGCACTTGAAAGATGGAACACCTAGATGAGAAAGCATGGAAATAAGGCTTTTGAATACTGCACTGATCATTCAAGTATATATAGAGAGCTTTAGATAGAAACATTGCTTTAAGTGTTTTTAGTTTTCTACCAATCAAATTACATCCAGATGTCAGTAATTAAAAGGCTAAGTAAATTTTTGAAAACAAAGAGATGAATCCGGAATGTCATCACTTTTCTGTGTGCTTCTGCTCACCCTCTAGTAAACCAAGTACTGTCACTTGTTTCATCTCTCCTCTGCAGCTGTTGCACCTATGTGGCCACAGGGCATTTGTTGGTTTCCTTGAATTGCCTGTTTCTCATGGAAATGTCGTGCTTGTTCCCTGTATTGTAGCAAATGTGTAGGGAAGTAAATTTCCTTTTGATAGTAAGTGCATTTGTTCACACTTTCAGCTCTTCTCTGAAGGTTCATTTTAAATGAAACATGAAAGAAAATATTTATGTCCCCTGTGTACACAAAAGCATTTCAAGTAAACTCTAGTTGAGACAGCTTTATGCAGCATTTGATTGCTTATGCTGACATGTTTATGACAGCACTGTAGGGTCTTCAGTAATGGAATATAAGTTGTGCAGTTTTTCTTTTACCTAGAACATAGCTTTAAATTTTGTAGGCCAAAATCCTCAGTTTTAATTAAAGCTGCTACAGGAGAGTAGTAGGATGTTGTATGTTTGTTAATGGGAATGACCAATCTGTATAATTTAATGCCCCTCAACCTTTATTAGCTGTTGGGGACAAACCTAAAGTCACATTTAAAAACAAGTAAAAGGTGCAGACTTTTCCATCTTGTCCTTTAAACATCTTTAGCCTGCATTATTTTTCCTAGTACTGTCTTCACCATTAGATGCAGCTGTTTCTTCCAGCTGATTGTATTCAGTCACTGCCAAAAACTTGCTGCTGGATACTTGATTCCCTTAACTGCCTTCCCTCTCTTGAAAATATGAGTCAATTTTTTTATATGAATAATACTTTAATCTGTGATAGGCAGTCAATAGAACTTAATTACCATAGTTCATTACCTGAAAAAGCTTGTTTGCTGGGAATTGTAAACATTATAACCTCAGTGTTCTTAATAAGTAGTTGCAGTATGTTATCTACATATTATATTGTTTAATCTAGTATTTTAACGATTTGTACATGTAGATATATTTTAATCAACTGCTTAAATAATGAAGTAATTGATTATACAAATCCGTTTTCATAGGTAACAACATTAGGACACTAGAACAGGTTTTTTAGGTAGTTTAGTGTTGCTGGATTCAAACACTTTTCTAAGAGTGTTTTCAGGTTTTTAAATATTTCAGCCCTACAAATGTTTTAGGAGAAATCGTTTCAGCATTTTACTCTCCTAAACATCTTTATAGCCAATAGCAAGTTAGGCAGCTAATTAGGAGTCATATGTTCAGCCATTTTCATGGGTCTGACTCCTAGCACGTGGAGTATTCCAGGCTGTTAGCTTGGGGAATAAAGTATCTAACAGTGATATCTTTTTTTTTCCTCCCCTCAGTATCCTAGAAGTATGTGTTGCCTTTTCTTACTACCCTTCTTATCGCTCTTTGTACAATCTCTGGGCCGTATCACTTGTGATATAAAAGCTAGCCCTAATTGTATTTGTTGCAATTATGAAATAATATTAATATACTTTGAATTAATTCCTCTTCTTTCATCTAGAAATTTGCTTTTGGATACTACAAATTGGTTTCTTTGCTGGTTTTATACATTCATATAGCAGCTATTTTTTGTTTTATATCTTAATAGCATTCCAGGTTACATTTTGTTTACACACATCAAGGAACCATAATCTTTACTTCTGTGACCTTATAAAGCTTGCAATAATTATAAGGCTTAATTTGACCAACATGTGTACAAGTTGTAAAATATCTTAACACCTTTCTCTGTAAACCAGTTCCGATCTTAAAGCAATTCATGGATTGTTCTTAACTTCTAAAGTGCTAATGAATTTTTAGTAGTTTTACTGAACTTGTATACGGTTGATTGAGGGTTTTTTTCCAAGCACTACAACAGAAATTGTCTTTTATCAAGAGCTCTTGGAGCATTGTTTTCAACCTTTTGGTCCAGCAGAGAACCTTTTTCTCATTTAGAAATACCCAAACTTTTATTTGGCCAGAGCAAGGGTGTTTCGTAAAATGCTTTGTTTTCTTGCCATAAAAACTCTAGGAAGCCCTGTTACGAAAGAAATGCTGTCAAGTGGCTTTCCTCCTGCCTTTATCACTGATGTTCAATAACCATTCAAAACTTAGAGGGTCAGGTAAGAGCTTTCTTAATAGAGCAGTGACATTATTTCTGGTTAGCCTCCGATATGTTATATTTGCTGAGAGCTCCAATGCATTTTTCATTTGATTTTATTTTGTTTGTTTGTTTTTTGTTTTGTGGTTCTGTCATCTTTTACAGAAGGGAATTTTTTTTTTTTAAGTTTAGTTTAGCCAACTAAATGCTAATGGATCCACTGAGAGGTTATTCAGAAATGTTTGCTAATGTGTTTTGCTTTAGGAAAATATCCAGAATAATTGGATTGAGAATGCAGCATGGCAAAGTGTTTTTCCAATAGCAATATTTGGAAAATCGTATCTGTGAATGGTGCTGTATGCTCATTGTTGCATATATGTGTGTGTTTTAAGCTACAACAGATTAAGTGAATACTTCAACACAGCAAAATAAGTACCTGAAGATAGAAGAAGAAGAATGAGGAACTCTGAGTACTTGACATAGTATTTTGGAGCTTCAAAATTGCACCTTTACTTGCTTGATAATTGAGCTTGTTATTTCTTTTTTACCTGTCCTTTAAATATTGATCCTGCAAAGACTTGTGCATGTGATTAACGCTAAATGAAAGTGTTCAGGCTGCTAAAATTAGACAAGTTCCTCAGTCCTTGCAAGATTCAGGTCTCTGGTTCCTTAGTGTTTATATTCTTGAGATATATTTAATTTATTTTTTTTAATGCTGTAACGCAAAGCATATTTCCAAACATCCTGTAAGAGTTTTTGTTAGTTTTTCTTAATGGGATAATTTAAGTGGGAAAATTTAACTTTTATTGTGGAGTCAGAGGGAAGGACAAATATTGTAATGAATGAGGGGAAGTGAATGGCAAACTCTAATACAAGATTTCATAAACACTACCAACAACAGACATACCACCATATTCACCAACTTTACTGCTTCACTTTTCAGTAAAAAGTAAAAAATACCTATTTGCTATGAGTGTTCCAAAGGGAATAAAAGATAAGTGTCTTGATTGCTCTAATTTTTAACTCTGTAGCTGGTGAAATGGTATTGACTATCTTGCAGCACCCTGAATGCCATCAGTGTTTGGTGTTAAGAACCTGATTTATTTCACATTAGCGCTCAAGGAGACACATTTGTTTGCTTATGTGAGTTACTGCATTGATAGGGACTGCCAGCTGGCTCTTTAGTTAGTGTTATCAAGTGAAAGCTTCTTTTATGATCTCTTCTTAAGAAATTACCAATAGTGAGGAGCTCACCTAAAACCTGAGGCTTGTCTTCATGCTTACCTGTCTTCATTGCTTTTTTATAATTATGTGCATTTCTCTGTCTGTGTCTGTATATATATCATTCACTATGTACATTCATACTTTTTTCTGCAGTAAGTTAGTGACTACCTAGGAATCAAAATTCTCAGTTGGGTCTTTGCTTCTGTGGGTTGAAGATATACCTGCCTGGTTCTTGATTTTTTTTAAATTTTTTTTTTTTAATGTACCATACGGTTGCCTCTAGAGAATGAAAATCCAAAGAAACTAGAAATGTGATAAATGAAAAATTAGAATAGTGACATCTGTGTTACATAAGATGTTCTGAAGTCAAATATGTTCGTCAGAAATAGTCTCTAGGAAGTTCATGTTTATAACTACTACTGTGAATCATCTGTTTTACTGCAAAGAAAAAGCTATCTTCTGTAAATGTTTTATTTTGAATCACTTCTTCTGCCTGAACAGAATTTGCTATTACTTGTCAAACCTTGTAAGATATACTTAATTTGTTTTGGTTTTTTTAATTTGCTTTGTAGGTTTTGACTTTTGCCTATAAGCATGCATTGGTAAATAAAATGTACGGGAGAGGTCTCAAGTTTGCCACAAAACTTGCAGAAGAAAAGCCAACAAAGGACAACTTGAAAAACTGCATTCAGGTAAGCAGTATTTGGTCAAGTAATGGACTATGTTCATGCTGAGTAAACTTTTAAGAGCAAGATATAAGTCTTTTGGAAATTTTGATACTTTTTACATTTTAGAAACCACTAAATGGAACATTTTATCTTTATCCAGGCTTTGGTAGCTTGCCCTCCATTTTTGATAGTGATTTCTTCTTTCTTTTTCTAGAATAACTCATTTGTGAGTAACTGTCATTTTAGCAGATTTACTTTCTGGAACTTCCTTTGGGGCATAAAGGAGGTAGACAGCTTAGCCAAAGATATCTGCATATTTAAAATCCTGTTATGTTGCTGTTTAACCACTATTATTTTTTAGTATTATTAATCATAATTACTGTTAGTAGAATATAGGTGGAGAATTAATGGAAATTACGGTAGTTCCTGGGACAAGATTTTTGTGCATGGAGTTAAAAGACTGTCGATCATATGGGGGGGGCAGAAGTTTCCCCCTTTCAGGACTAAGGAATTCAAAGATCACTAGTTCTCCAATCTGTTATCTTTCTATAACTGACATTTTTAGTAAGATGTTGATATCTGTGCAGTGTTTGTTTAGATTTAGATGTTAAAAAGAATGACTCTTTTTTTTAATGTCCGCTTTTTTTCTTCAGCTAATGAAGTTGCTTGGATGGACTCATTGTGCAACTTTCACTGAGAATTGGCTTCCTGTCATGTATCCACCTGATTACTGCGTATTCTAGAAAATCAACAGTTGTAAAATTAAAATGATTTTATATGGGGCAGGATAGGAAAAGATAGGTTTGACTTTTTATTCGAACGCATGTTTTCATTACTGAATGCTGATTATTAAATTGTGTGTATTTATCAGTAAAGGCACCTGGGTACAGTTAATACCTGTTAACCTAACTCCTATAATTAGGGAGTTTCCTTATTGTGCATCCCATTGCTGGCAATGGATGTGCCAGAACTGCCAACACCAAGGATTTGGAATCAGGTTGGAAAGACTTACTGCATGCATGTTAGGTTCTGAACTATTACTTTTAACTGCAAACCTGTAAAAGTTCTGTATTTTTTACGATAAACTGAATTTTAACATGTTTGATCTTAATTTCAGTTGTACGAAGGCCTTAAAGCTACTTCAAGAGTGGCTAAACTCTTACTTATTAGACAAAAATAATGGAACACGTGTATTGTTTGCAAGAGTTTACATTTAATTTTTTTTAAGAAAAATTCAACCTCTCAAAATGTTATGGTATTTGAATTGCTGATGCATAGGTGCTCTTGTAAATCTTCATTTTGGAGTGATTTCAGACAAACTCAAAAATCTGTGTGAAGCTGAGTATCAAGGACAGACTGATACATGTATAAAAGTGCCAGACAGTTACATCTTGATCGGATATTGTAAAGCTATACATATATGTTTATTAATGTTAAAAGTATAAACCACAGCAGAATAAATGTGCAAAGCTGAAGATCAAAAAACCGCTATGTGCACTCTGATACTTTAAAAGATTTTTATAATTAATAAAAATACTGAAGCTAAAAATTGTATTGGTTTCTGGATTAGTACATAAAAAACTTGCTGAAAGAAAACACCTTACAAACAAAAGTTCAGTGCAACCCAGAAGATCAGTGCTTTTTGTTAAAGCCTTGTTACTGACTACTGCTATGAAAATTGTTCCTTCAGTGAAGGGAAATTGGTCTGTTTGAACAGGTCATATGTATCAACCAGAGACAAATTGCCATATCCTTTGCCTTGCTAGTTTTTTCAATACTTGCAATGCAAAACTTAAATACAACTGCGACTTTACAAATGTAAATGCACATAAGGTGCAACATAATCCTGCAAAGCATTCCAAACTGTGAGGTCCTGCCACTAAATCAAGAATAGTGATAGTTTTCTCTTTAATTTTCTCTTACTGTGGCTTTAAGCAACTTGACACTGGATTCTGGAAATTCTGCTAGAATAGTTGTGTTAAATATATTGGAAAGTTTTTCCAAAAATTCGTAGTCTGTAGTAAATCTGAATTTATTGGCCCATAGTAATACTGTTCCTGGCTTACAAAAATAGACCATTGTTGCTAGCAGGGGATCCAGAGCTGCATGATGGTACACAACGTCAGTTGCCAGTATGAAATCATAATGGTAAGTTGATACAGGAAAATCTTCGTTGAGGCCTTCTCCCCATACCAGTTTTCTCACTTCAGGTTTGTGCATATTCATGTTTTGTGTATTTCTTGAAATATTATATGAGAGATTTTCAAGAACTTCAGGCAAATCGGTAGCTGTAACATGAGCTCCTAAAGAAAACATGAATTTGTTTCAATTCACAGAATCATCAAGGTTGGAAGAGACCTTCAAGATCATCTGGTCCAACTGTGAACCCAGCTCTGCCATAATCACCCCTAAACCATTTCCCCAAGTCCCACATCTAGATGCCTCTTGAAAACTTCAGAGATGGTGCCTACACCACCTCCATGGGCAACTTATTCCAATGCCTAAACCACTCTACAGTAAAAAACATAAACATCTAACTTTAAGGCCATTTCCTCTCATCCTTTCACTTGAAACGTGGCAGAATTCATAGATAAGTAGTTAAACATATATAAAACTTTATCTACATAACTTCTCCAGCCTCCCCCTTGCCAGTAACTAGGGTAGTTAACAAAAGAGTTTTTTACAATAATTTTCATTAAAAAAAACCAAACAACCAGTGACGAAGTTTATTTCAGTTGTTGTTTCATTTCCTTAAAGTGACAGTGGCAGGACTAAATCATCTTTCACAGAAAATCTAAAAGAAAATACAAATTTACCAACCTAAGATACAGGCCACAATGGAAAGCAAGCCTGTTCCAGCACCAATTTCCAAAACTTTTTTGTCTTTGAGGTTGAATTGTTCTTGATTTGATTCCAGATATTGAGATAAAGCCAGTGCCTAAAATGGTTAACACATATCCGTAAGAGGGTAACAGCTAAGTTGCACAAAAATTCATTAGATGTTTTTATGCAAAGGTGTTGGTTTTTTTAGTACAATGAAAAACACTGAAGGGTGTAACATAAAAATGTAATATGGAAAGAATTGCGATGTTCTGTTTTTTTATATTAAAAAAATTAAAGCAGTTTATTTTTAATTTACTTTTATGGGATATGGATTTGCTACACATTTCTATGTGAGTCTTCTGACAGCTCAAGATAGGCGGTGGTAAAATGTAAACCATACAGTCAGAACACCAAACGAGATTTAACAATATGTAAAAAGTAACGTTCTGGTTTATGATCATAAATGTTATGCTTTATTATCGCTATTATCAAGTAAATTCAGACTTCAGCAGAGATTTTTGGAAAACCTGTTTTTGTTTCAATTTTTTTTAGCAAAGGAAATATTAAAAATTTATTTACCAACTTGACACTTGTCTTGGTAATCATATAAACTTTAAAAAGGAAACAGCACTGTATGGAAATATTGTTTATCAGGCCTTTGTAAAGATCTTATCAATAGAATATAAAGGGGCTGTTTATAAACAACATAAACTGATGCCAAAGAAACTGTCTTCCCCCTTTTGCTTCTCTTCTTTAGAGTTGTGTTACTGTTTTAATTCTTGTGCTTTTCACAATGCAACACTGTCTACCTACTCTGAGAAAGCTGACAGCTAATAAATCACTAGTCCAATTTGTGCAACCTCTCCATTTTCTTGGATAGTTGTACCATCTGCATTCTGACACCTGATTAATGTGCGAATTGATGATCGGACGTGTCAAAATAAGATACTGTTTCACCCACATATACACTTTCTTTCTATTGTTTTGAAATTGTCTGCCATTTTTTTGTGAGCTTTTTAAATAAATGTGGATCTGAAAATTTTGAAATCCTAATTTTCATGTCTTTATCGTTAACCCTCTCTTCCCTCAAAGGCAGTTTTCTCAGTCCATGTGAAATTCTGTTTTTAAGAGCAGGAGAAGCAGAGATTGAAGAACTGTTTGCAAGTGTGGTTTTCTATACTGCGATGGAGCTGTTCCAGCCTGTTCTTTAAAGGAAGCATGTTTAATTGTTATAACCTCCTTTATTTAATCTCTCACAATTTTCTTTTTCAGCCTCCTTTTTGTGCTGCTGATTGCTTACCTCCTAGGAGTGACTGATTGGAAACATGAAGGAAGCTGAATGCTTCTTCCTGAGTTCCCTTTCTGAATTTTTTTGAACGCCTGCATCCAATTTACAAATGCTTAAATGCCATAGTCCTTTTGGTGTGAACTGGCAAATTACCCTAAGGCAGAGCTTTCTGCTGAAGGTCTTTGTCCTGCGTAGGGAAACCTCCATTGTCGGAAATATCATCTAAGAAAGCTTCCTTAATGTTTGTGTGCTGCTGTCATGGTTTACTCTTGTGTCCTGTCAGCTTTCTGCCGTGTCATGCACTTACCCCCGGCCATACCACGGCTCCAAAGTGTTCTATGGACTCCTGAATGATGATCCGGTGGCCAACATATGTATAGTGCTCTTTATCGAAGTAGTGCGAAACTCTAGGAACCCAGTTCTGCAGTATTTTGAGAGTTACTGGTGAGCCTGTGAGAGAAAAGTTGAAATCGGTGTCTTTATATGCAACTTGGTAAAAAGTGTCTTGCAAAAATAGCGTGTGGGCACATGGACTAGAAAGCTGTCAGGCCATTGGCCTTGAATTTCAGAATCATTAAGGTTGGGAAAGATCTGGAAGATTGTTGAATCTCACCCTTAACCAATCCAGCACCTCTGTGTTCATCACTAAAACATGTTCTCAAGTGCCATATCTTTTAAACACTTCTGGGGATGGTGATTTGATCGCTTCCCTGGGCAGCCTGTTCCAATGCCTGACCACCCTTTCAGTGAAGACTAGCTGCTGTCCAAAAGCAGACACTCTGGCTGACCAGGTAGTGAAAGAAACAATGGTCATTTCCTGCCATTCTGAGTGTTCACATGGGCAATTTACTAAATCAAATATAAAGTTGTTCTAATTACAGCTAGAAGACTTTCAGGACCAAGTTACCTTGTATTTTGTGGTAAGATAGTTCATATTGAGTATGAAGATAGTATGTAGGTGTTTGTGCTGTAGATTTCATTTGTGGGGTCAACAGCTCTAGAACATCAAATGTCTTTTTAAATAAGAAGTGTTTAGAATTTACCTCTTTCATTGAAGAAAACCTAACTCTTTTTAGTGGTTGTTTTTTAAGCATCCTTCCACAGAAGGAGAGTAGTAAGATACTCTTTAAGTATGTGTTGACATACAGCGTGGTTCAGCAAGTCAGTACTATGGCTGTGCTAGCGTGTCTCATCATAGCAAGCAGGCTCATGGATGAGGCTTTTCAGAAGAGCTGTGCTGAACTGTTCCATCTGATCTCACTGAAAACAAGGACACAGATCTGAATGACTGTACTGTTGCTGGAAGCCTGTTAGCAGGATATGCCCAGAATTAACCTTAACTGCAAAGAAAAATTTTGCTCTGGCTAGCATGGATTTTAATTGTTGCCTGCCAGGAATCCTTGGTAGCTGTTGGAGCAGTTTAGCCTGTTGAAATTTGTAATACCACAGCTTCAACAGTGCTAGCCCAATTAATGCATATCTCTGATTGTAATTGACAAATAATTCTTAGATATCCAAGTAAAATTCAGAGACCTTTTTAAATATACATCTGAATTATGGAGATAGTAATTTTTTTGTAGATTTGACCTGATAATATATGCAAACATAAGGAGAAATGGGAAAATTGGATGTCAAAAGGCAAAGTGACATGGTGACATCTACTGTTTGAAGACTGACAAAAATCAAAATATGAATTGCTAGCATGCCATAGCAATTGCAGAATTTAAATGGGATTAAACCTGTGTCAGATTCTGCATGCTTGGAGCTGCAAGTGCAGTTTTCAGAGTCACACTGCTCTTCACAGGTTTCTTCTTCCTCAGATTGGCAGTCCATTGCTCTTTGAATTTTGTTGGGAAATGCTGGCTGCTGTGCAGAGATCATAGCAGAAGAGCTGAAACAGAAGGGGAAAACTAATGTAAAATCTTGCAGGCACTCTCTTTGTATGAGACATGACTGGAAGAAGACATGAGTAGTTTGGGTGGACTTTGGTGGCCTTTTGAGTTTTTTTTTCAGTGATGGTTTGAAGGGACAGGATGACATGTGATATTCCCACTCCACTGAGTGTTATGACCACTTTCTGATAATGCAGTAATGCTGTCAGAATTTTTATTTTATCACATTTATCATATTTATTATTGCGTTTATTTTAACATTTATACAGAATCTTAGCATTATGTCACTGAATTGATGCCACTAATCAGTCTGAAAATTGAGCTACTTTTATCAATTGAAGCAATAACTGAGAAAGATAACTGTCTTTTAACATCTATGACTTTTAATCTGTGCAATTTACTGTTTTCCAAAAAACTTGGGACTTGGCATTCCTGAGATAAAACTGTTTCATTTGCTGCAGCCAGTGCTCTTGATTTTGTCTCTTAGCATCCAGTTGCCTTCTCTTCCCTGCCTTTTCTTGCAGAACAGCTTAATGAATTACTCTGAAATGTAGTGAACTGCAGAGTATGCAGATAGCAGTCAGGAAATCATTGCAGTGAGCAGTTTGAATCCATAGGGCTTTTTGGAGAATTGTGTGTGTTGTGAATGATTATGCATCCTCAGTGTACAGGGCAGCACCCAGCCTAAAAAGGAACTGATTGATACCAACTAACGTCAATAAAAGCAGGAATAGGACTGGATCTAAATTTGCCTGGGGAGTAATATGTCAGTGACACTTCTTGCTTGACTAGGATTTTATTCAGTGAAGCACCAGCATATATCTGTGTGTGTAGATAGATAGAAAAATAGATAAGGTATACACACACAGTAAAGAGCAAAAAAATGGTTCATAA